ACAGTACAATACTGTACTGTAGTTCCTTCTAAAATACTGTACTGTACTGTAGCCTAACGTCACTAACTGCGCATATACAATTTTTAACAGTAAATTAGGTGCAACCTCTTAAGTCCTTCCTCTTTCGTCATCATAAGCTCTCTAGGCAAAACTTTCAGAAGCTAACCTTCATCTGTCAATTATTCTTCAACGGATCACTACCGGAGTGAAAGAATCAAAATGCTACCAGGGAAGCTGTCCAGGATTGAATTAAAAATGAACAACTTGCAAGAATTTGAAAATAGTAGGAAAAAAAATGATAAAGCTCAAGTCGAAATGGATGATAGTCTGAATGAGCAACAGCAGAGAAATGGTGGTGATCATGTTAAGGACAGAATTGCAAGACAACACGAAAGGATTGGCTACGTTCCTCAAGTAGTCACAAACGACGCCCATGTCAATATTCGTGAAAGTTAATGTGATAACCCTTCTAAAACTGGCGAAATACATGTTATTTATAAGCTCTTCTTACTGTATGCAAATTGCAATAATAATACGTGTTATAATTATTGTTCCGTAGACTCCACTGCCATGTACTGTAGTGTACTGTACATAAGATAGAATATTCATTAATGTATAAATGTATGGACACCAAAAATTATTCAGGATAACTGAAGTACATACTGCATACTAGAGTTGGATACTGTAAATTATAAACTACTCTGTCCTGTTAAACATCTGCTTCCATTATTACACCAACGGAGAATTTCGATATTACAAACAAGAAATTTATGCTAGCAGCTAGTTTATACCCGCTGTTGAGGATGGTTGCATTTGTACCTTCTAATAAATTACACAGCTATCAATGTTACTGCAACGTGATAGATAGTACTATCGATAAAACTACTGTGATTAGTCATATACAATACTGTGCATGATTGTATTACTTAGTGGGCTGTGATTTGCTAATTTCTGTTGGCTGCGGTTAATGCGCAACTGGTGTAATGTCGAAGTAGTTTACTGATACTGCACTAGGCTTTGTATGGAATCACCGTTGCAACGATGCTCGCACTGTTTTTTTTATCACTGGATTTTGTAACATGATCAAAGTACTCATTACTAAATATACTTAACCGCAGTTCAGAAATCTAAAAGCTTTCTACTATCATGTATCTCTATCTCTAATGCGTGTCACTATGATCTACTAGTATTCATATTCTTAAAATGTAACGTCAAAAAATGTTAAAGAAAACAAGATTATACTACACGTATGCTGCCAGTTATACTTTCTATCGAGGCATACCGACTAAAAGTATGTTTATATGCCGACCTGCAGCGCCCTCTTCTCAATAGGAGCTCACGACATTAGAATATCAACCAAGCCTATTGACGGGGCATAACCTCAACTTGTTTCTCAACAACATCGATTCGTTTTAATATTTTCTAAATTTTATACTACTTACATCGAAAGAAGCGTTGTAATCATGTATTTACTATTTCAGGATTCTTTTTCTACATTTGCCTATAATTAAAAAAATTTACTATAATTACTACTGTAACCCTACTTGCTGTACTTCACTAAAAAGCTAAAAATAAACAAAAAATAATACTGCAATACATTGTCGCGGAATGAAAAGTTGTCGAATATTTTATTAGTCTATTTCTATCTAGCCTTTTAAATTATGGCTCTTTACATGAGGATATAGCGTACATAAAATGACGCTATGTGCTCCAGGTCATATCCTACCTACTAAATGTCCAGGCGTTAACCTGAAAATTTCGTTCTTACATCCAAGCTTCTGTGATTACTCAGCAAAAAGCTAGAAGCGTATCTATTCGTAGGTAATCTCAACCATGGACTACTAGAAACTCTCCGACGTGATACTCCTCCACAATGAAAGGCCACATACGGCCATTGCATAATATTGCAACCGTAGTTACAATCACTGTAACAAAATATAAAATCTCTTACTGTCTTTACCTAAACCTTAATGCCAAATGCATTTCCTTTACAATAAAACGTATACATGCCTTCTGTAGTACATAGCAGTATTAAATATCAGCACTGCAAATCGATAGTATGAGGTTCTCTGAAGATATTTGTCAGAGTGATTCATTATCATACGTATAAATAAAAGTATAATGCTGTCTTTAACTTCTATTGGTATGAACTGAACATCGATCACACATGGATCGTTGTAACAATCTTTTACAGACGTTAGAGTACTTTTTGTTTACGAATAACTCTCCAGTCAATTAACATGTTGACAAAACAAATTACAAATGATGTACATTTCCTGTAACTGAGGCATCATTTTCATAATTTATCATTTACACTGATATGGATCCATTCCAATATCACAATACTTTACATATATTATATAATAATATACGCAAATAAAAAAAAATCGCCATGCAGTCACGCCATTGCACTGTACTTTAATAAGATCTTATTCATATTGCTAAACGACTTAATTCCGACGAATTACATGCCTTAGTATAAATTTACAGTATATGCATACTATAGACCTATGTTATCAGCCGATGAAAGACGGAAAAATAGCAACTTTTAATGTTAAGAATTTTTTCTGTATTGTTAATTTTCTAATACAAACATCTTACCGTATTTTACTGTAATCTTATCGTTGGTGGCATAGCGAATTTTAAAGATGTAATAGCTCGTCTAATTAATTATCGTACTTAATACTATCGCTGTTAGCCACTAAAATTACTCCGACTTCTGCTTCCTGAATAGATTAGTTAATTGTTAGACAAAAAGTCCTAATAAAAAATTGCTAATCCAAATCTAATCTACCCACAGTATGCTAATATGCAATACTGTACTATTTATATTATTCAATTCTACTAATACCCATCTTTTATTTGCAAAATAAGAGCAAAGAGCAGACAAGCCGAAACAATCTCTTTGATATTACTATTTCGTATCGCTATAACCTCGAGAAATCGTTGCAGTATAAACAAGTCGATGACCTAGCATAATAGAGATTACCAAATTATGAATTTATTATCCCTCACGTAATAGCATAAAGCCCTTGTAATGTTTGTCCTAATGTTCCTTGCTGACAAAGATAATTATTGTGATAGCTATTTGACGTAATAAGTATTTTGTTAGGCTTAAATGATGGATTATGGATAGCACAAACATTGAACCTGACGCTATTTTTTTTAGTTAATATTTTTAAATATTTTAGTCATAGCCTGTGCGATTATTGTATTAAGAAATTAATTTTCTTGACGTGCAAGTGGTAGTAAACGATTTACCCTATCCAAACCCTTTCAAGATCAGACGCGTCGGATTTGGAGATCATTTGAAAAAAATGCGAGCTTTGACTCTATTCCAGCAAGCTCACTGATTTTGTTTCAAAATAATTTATATAGTCACAAGTTGTATGGCATTGAAGATCTGCTACCTTCAGCATTTAGTTTATGAGAATAGATTTACACAACCCAAAAATTGACATACATGGATTTAATTTATTGCTATATAACGTTAGTAAAAGATAGTAAAGAACATACTGGCTCAAACACGTATTTAGATCGCTAGGAATCTTAATGGAACACGTAATTTTACTTTGACGATAGTCTCGTGTCTAGTTACTATCGAAACACAGACTCGTATCATAACAATCATGTTGATTAGCGTATGCTAGAACTATAATATGGCTTGAATCTAAATCTACTTTAAAATAATATACATCCGGAATCAGGAGTATAAATTACATGTAAATAATAAATACTCAAGTATATAAGTAGGCTGATAATTAATAGTTTTCGTAATAAAATATTACTTCACTTGATATTCTATCATGAGAGAAATGCTTGTAAATAATAAAATTGAATGATTGGAATAAATACTTTGAGACAGCTTTGTGTCAATATCATGGAACAAAAGCATTCTGTTTAAACAATTAATATTTCTGCAAGATTAAAGCCTAAACTAAAAAAATACTCGAAGTATATTCGTACTCTCGAGATTTAAATCTGTATGGTGATCAACTTTACAAAAATAATCATAAATATAAAGTGTAAAAAGCAATAACAAACTTATACAGTAAATTCTTTTTAATTTATTCATGGTACTTTCTTCAAGCCAATTAAAATAGGGTATAATATATGTTTCGACAGGAAGATTGTTTAATCAAATGACTGTTATTCAATTATTATATAAAATTAGTTGTTAAAATAGCAATTGCTAGTTACTAAGTACAATTTGTAGAAATTATTATCCAGTCTATCGCACTAGTGTCAAATGACTGGCGTCTATACCTATCGGCGCCAGCGACGCAAAGAAAACAATTCATATGTCTCTCGCTAATGCCAGACGAATATTATCTGAAAATTTAGTACGTATTTATTATCACACAACTTTAATCGAGCTTTAGTAGCAGGAACAAATCTTCGTTGACAACCTAACCTTCCTATTTTGATTACTACAACACCCGTTGAAACAAGTTTCTAATTCTCTGTACTGAAAGTTAAAAATTCTTGTAGCAGCTTATTCGTGATTTTATCGAAAATCTATCTCTACCTACCATAATATCTCGGCTCACCCTTTCAGTAATTAGCCATTTAGAATACGTGGAGTATCAGTCTTTTATCCAAAATTTAGTGCTTCGAATTTCTTAATCTTTACCCATCTTTGCGCGAAGTAAACAGATTTTCAAAACTTCAAGTAATTACCCGAAAAATAAAGTTAAGGTAAATATTAATAGAAGTACCATTTTAACGCCATTTAGTAAAGAAAATTTTTGGTGGTATTGGTCAGATCAATTATAATTATATTATATAATAATTATCTGTTTTATGAGTAGAGCATAGTACCTACTGTACAGGAAAGTGATGCAAAAGTAGGAATTGTTATACAGTATAGTGTATAGTTCAGACAATTTACAGTTAACGATGAAAAGTAAGATCGCCTGTAAATGTAAACTTAGTTACCTCGTGATTTAGTGATATCAATTTTATCGTTTCATTCTGGCTAAAGAATCGATCATCACAAAATGGAATTGGACACTATTGAAGAATTTCGTAGAAACGGCAAATCAGTCATTGATTTCATTGCCGATTATTTCACTACCTTGCACATGGATGAAGTTCCTCCTTTATCAGAAGTTCCACCAGGCTATTTGCGCTCTTATATTCCGAATGAGGCACCTGAAGAAGGCGAAGACTGGCAAACTATCATGGAAGATGTAGAGGAAGCTATCCTACCGGGGGTACTGTTAAATATTGTATTCTAAGATCTTAAACTATGTAAATGGAGTTATTATACACTCTGATAGAAAGTCCACCATTATCATAATGCTTTCGTTTCCAGTTTTTATTTTTTCCGTTTTTCTCTTGTACTAGATTGAGCGCATTGAACTAGGGGTTTTATATTATCGCACCGCAGATTTTAAATAATAGATTATACTTCGTTCTTATATATTTCAGTTTTCGATCCTGTATCAGTTCTAGATATGTATAGCTTACCTTTAGTGATTAGCTATACCTACTTGCTTATGACGTCCCGTAATATGCTTAACTTCCGCAGTAGTGGTAGTTTTATAGCTCTCAGTTTCTCGCTATAAAATTTGTAAAATATGGTATAAACCTTATTCTAATAGTAGAAAGCTCTTACAACCGCAGCTGTAGTAATTTTACCAAATTAATGATATATATTTAATTTTGTTATTTGATTATGATGTTTATTAATACTGTATATCAAAGCAACCTAAAACTAGAATATCCTACTTCCGTACAACTAATTAGAAAAGAATTAACAATCTTGCACTTTTCATCGCCGTGTTACTAAATCGTTGATGACATTGCTTTGAAAACATCATATTTATCCGACCCTGACGGAGTTCGCTAAAAGTAAGTTGTACTTATCTATTCATGATCACAGGTTACCCATTGGAACAGTCGTCACTTTCATGCTTACTTCCCACATGGCCTGAGTTATCAGGCAATGCTAGCAGAGCTACTAGGGACAGCTTTTGGTATGGTTGGATTTACTTGGGTACGGCAGCAACGCTATATATTAATTTTTACCGTACAAACTAAACTTAAAAAATGCGCTATATGACAGTGTATAGCTCTTTCGGTCAATATTATTAGACCCTAAAATAATAAGTGTCTATGATATTAGATGTGTAACTTCAGCACAGAGCATCTCAACACAAATTGAGCTACTAAACATTTTTAAGACATTTATAATCTCAGTACCCCTTTTCTTCACAGAAAGCTGGACCTGTGTCAACTGAACTTGAAACTATAGTCACTAATTGGCTAGGTAATATTGAAAAAGAACTACAGCACATAAATTGTATTGATTAATGCATATACAAAAAGTAACCAGAGATGGAGTGACCGCTACGATAAGATTAAATTTGTACTCTATGTTTATTGTTGTAGTATGTTCGAATTTAATCATGAGCACTTTTGTTACGACAATTACCCTCAGTTACATCTTCATTTTTTCTTCTAGGTGAACTAATTAATTTACCAGACGAATATTTGACTTACAGTAGCACACATTGTAAGGGTGGTGGTGTATTATTGGTAAGAATACTGTTTAGATATAAATTATGGTAATCATAGGAGATATTACATGATTTAAATAATAATATGTAACTACTCAAATAACTTCTATGAAATTTTTATGCAAAATATCATGCAACGTAAGGATAGAAAAAATATAAATACAATTTGTAGCCTTGAATTTGATAAGATTTTTCATGTTTTATCTAGAGCTCAGCATCAGATTGCTTGATGTCGGCACTAATTGCTGCAAGGTATAAAAGGATTGAGACAATGAGGGCTAAACACTACCGTGGTTTTGATTCCAGTAAACTGTTGGGGAAATTTATTGTGTATACTTCAGAACAAGTATGTACGATAGTTCAATATTTTTCCAATTGCTAAGGGCAGTAATAGATGCTAGACAACACAGTCTACATAGCAATAACTATACTTGCGTATGTTTTTCCCACTATGCATAAATTTATATTGATTTTGGCTTGTACGATTGCAATATCAAGATTAACGTCTCAGTAGAGAAAGTATGTATGGCAATGAAAATTAAAGTCAAAAAGCTAGAAACTGATGATTCCTTTGCTGTCCGAGGAGAAGTCCTTGATAAAGCAATCGAGGTAGTATGAAATGCGTACTATAATTAAGTTTTATAGACATTCATAGAAGTTTGTTCTAGAGTCGTGTCAGTTGGATTGTACAAATTTCCTGCAATACTTGCTTCCAACTACTAGTGTATTATAGTCATTATGAAGTACACCGCACTGTTTACTTGCTATTAAAGCTGTACCTGTATGTATTATGTTGCATTTTTAGGAAGATAAAGAAGAAGGCTTAATTCCTTTGGCGGTACGCAATATTATTGTAGATTTACAGATTCATGATTAAAGCTATAATCAGTATAATTAGAAAGAAACTACAATTAAGCGATAAGTTACTCATTCTTGTCAACCTTTCCATGAATCAGTCATCTTTTGTGCTCTTTTAAAGAACGTTCACCTAAATGATTCACTAACTTAGGAAATTTTCCAATTCTCATTTTTGATACCAATAGGTTTGCGCTACAATGGGAACAACAGACTGTTGCGCTATTGATAACTTAGCTGAAATAGGACCAATCTGTATGAGCTGATCATATATTAGTATATATTGTTAAATTGCTTTATCTACGATCGATAGGGATTAATGTTCGCCTGTTCAATCGTTGTTAGGCCAACGAGAACACGTTTGGCTACATGTAGATGCAGCTTATGCTGGCGGTGCTTTAGTTTGCCCGGAATATCACCACTGGTTGGATGGCGTGGAAGTAAGTTGAAATGGTTACTATTAGTTATAGGGCAAAAATACTACCTTATCGCATATTTACATATAGAAAATTGTACCAATGTCTATTCACTTCTAATGTCAATATATTTTCTCTATTTATTTATTTTCCTTTTCGGTATAGTACACCGATTCCTTTTGTGTCAGCCCACAAAAATTAATGTTAAACACATATGGTTCTGCCCTCTGGTAATCATTTTTTTAGTTTGAGATATGTAGGAGTGATTTTTATGACTTTATTTAGAAATTTTGAATTAGCTTTGGCTAAAGAAACTGAGAATGTACATTCTTGTATAATAATATATTCATAGCAAATTTATTTCTTTTTAATATAGGGTAAAGAATCGTCTCATATTAAATCACGCTGTAAATCAGTTTGAAGAACCAATGTACTTACATGGCAGAAGAGGAAGTAGCATTTCTGGTGAATGGCATCTAAGAGCTTGTAGCTTCAGCGCAAAATACCGACAAAATATTGAACAATGTGAATGTAGGTTTTACGAAAGCAATTAGTGCTGTATTTTATTGAGCTATTTTTTCCTGTCTACGCTATATAATATGCATTTGTAACTCGGTTTCTTCACTTTTAACACATATCCTCTATACATTAATTCACAATTCGGATAAGCAAGGCAGGATAACAAACTTTAAGGTATTGAATTAGTGATATGTCATGAGTTTATTCCCCTTTACTAATATTTTAAAGTAAAGCTAGATTCAACTCTTAAACACTCCTTAATTAATAAATTATATGTTAGGATTGGCAAGTTCCATTAAGTCGAAGGTTCTCTTCGCTTAATCTCTGGATAGTATTACGAAGTTATGGTCGTACTGGATTGCAAGAACATGTACGCAAGGTAATATTTTAGCCTCGTAGGGGTATAGCTACATCAACATAAAATTTTATTCCTTTACACGGAAGGTAGTTTAAAAAAATTGTGTGCTTGATATTTCTATTTAAAAAGTAATTGTTTCTTATATTAAAAAATAACAAAATTAACACAATATGTGATTTTGGGATATTTAACATATAGCATGTTCGACTTGCTGGGATGTTTGCTGATTTTGTTCGAATGGATGCTAGATTTGAGCTAGCAGCTAAGCCAACCCTTGGTTTAGTATGCTTTCGGCTAAAGGTATGTATTACTAAGAAAATCACAACACAACTTCTTCGCAATCTCATAGCAATACTAAAGTATGCTTTTACAGTACCTGTTTACTGTACAGTAATTAGCACAATATCGGTGAAATATCGTAATCATAAGTTAATACTTACCGTAGCTACCACGTATATAATCCCATAGTATCAGCGTAATATAGCCATCCTACAGAAGTTATTTTAAAAATTGTAACTAGCCATAAAAAAAATCTTAAATGATACTTGAAAGTATAACGTTCAATAAATCATCGGTTTATTGGCTAGTCTTAATTTAAAGTTTGGTATTTAAAATTTAACAAATCGTTGCTGCTATAAAATGTGGCCCTTTAGAAACATATTCGTTTTAAATTTATGTGGTCTTTATAAGAATCTTATTTTAATTTTTTTGAATATTTACCTTTACAGGGGGCGAGTAGCTTAAATGAGGCATTTCTGGATTCAGTCAATAATACTGGTAAGCTCCATTTGACGCCAACAACATTGAGAGGAAAATCGGCTATTCGATTTTGCATCTGTTCCAACATTACCAATGACGCCGATGTTCGTTTCGCTTGGCAAGTTATTGAAGAAGTAGTAGAAGAGTATGCTGACGACTTAATGTAAATGATTTTTATACTGCTAGTGTGATAACCAAAATTCAACGAGTTAATAGTTCGCTTTATATGCCTAAAATGCTAGGTACTTCAGTATGCATGATAGCAGCACTATAGTTTCAGTCAGTATTGACTGAACAAATATACATGTGTTAATGTAAATCTTTGAATTTCTTAGATAGTGCTGTACCCACCTAATCTTTTAATGCTCTACATGCTTCGGCATACAATTTGTTTCTCGATAGTATGAGTGTAGTGAATCAGATTTTCTCCCTCTATTATGACGTTATAAAGCAGGCGTAATGTTCTTTTTAAATGTTATCCTTACTTATGCAAAATGTTGATTAAGTGCATATGGAATTCAAATTTAAGTTTTGTTTGATGCATATGAAAAAGTAATATCGTAGGATTCAGGGTTCACAGTCAGTTGCACTTTCTGTTTGTACCGTGGCGAATATATCCGATTTTGCCACATATTCAACATTCAACATGTAGTTACTGTTACAATCAAGGCGTGTAATTATGTTGCGCATCTTATTGCAGTATCAATGCAATATAAATAAGAGTATATATTTTTCTATATGTATACGTAGTAATATCACATAAGTAACTACGCACAATTGCAAATTCTTATATCATAGCTACTGAGTATGTACACTCAAAACGTATAACAATGTGAATATTAGCTAGTTGTGATATGCTATGTGTGTTCGAGTGTAATACTGTACGCATTATCTATCATAGAACATATAGCTTTAATATATACGCATTTTGTGTGCGATATAATTGATTTTGGCTTATTACCTTTGGCTGCTTTACTCAAATGACTGCTTCAGTATACGAAATACTGTGCTGCATATAATAATTGTCCTTACATAACTGTATGGTAATAATGACATTGTTCTATACAGCTAAACTTTTGAGCTATTTTCTTGGTCAAAGTCATATGAAAATTCTGATTCTACAGGTTGATCAGTTTACCGATATATATTTAATATAATTGTTCCAAATTAATTTCCCTGACGTTAATTATGTGGTTAATTTCTATATTGGTCGAAATGAAAATGATGTATTTTTCAATTACTACCTGTTGTGAAATCCTACTTTGCTCAATTATCAATCTTAATAAATAGAAATATTCAATTAGCTCTGCCCGCATACTTGTATGACAACAGCTAAGAAAAATTACAATATTAATATGATTTGATAAAAAAGATGTGACGTTGACTGGAATTGATAAAATGTAATTGAGTAGTTTGACGGACCAAATTTAATAGTCATCGAGCATGGAATATGGGGCACCAGGCTCATTCATACTAGTTCTTTCTGCATAATAGTGGGGAAAGGATACCATTAGTCTAGTGCATCACTTCCATAGAGTAGAATACAATAGAGCTTCTGTATAACTTAGCTATCACAAGATAGTTTCCAAGTTTATTGAATAGATGTACAGTATGTAAAACAGGAGCTGAAAAATTATCTCTCCAAATATCATCGAGTAACAAGCCTACTCGTTTGTATTTATTGCTAAAAATACCCTTACCGAAAATTAGATATAATGTCTTTACAGTTGTTGCATTGCTGCATGAATTATGTATAAGAGCTGTGCAATATTCCCCCAAATCTTTTCAAATATACGAGTAGTCGTTAATACTACAGCAATATTGTGGTTTGTAACATGAATTTTAAAGCAAGATCAAGGTATCGAGCAACTATCAAAATACAGAGTATGAGTACAAGTACTATCAATTGCTATTAACTTTATATGGATAATGACAGGTTGGGAAATTTAAAGTATGTATTCTCGTAAAAGCGTTTACAAAAGTCCTTTACGCTTAGCAATATACTTTTGATGGTAGTCTTCCGCGTTATAAAAGGTAGAAGAAGGAATGATGTCAGTCACAGCCTTAATACCTTTCTTGATAAGGGCATCTTTGGTTTGATGAGCGAGTTTTTCTTGTTCTTTGTTGGCGTAGAATATAACAGATCGATATTGTCTACCCACATCGGGGCCTTGACGATTTACCGTGGTAGGATCGTGGGCCTTCCAGAATACGTCCAACAGTTCTTTATAAGTTATTTGCTCGGGATTGAAGTCTATTTTAACGACTTCAGCATGGCCAGTCTTGTCAGCACAGATTTGTTCATACGTGGGATTGACTGTGTCACCACCAGCGTAGCCGACGGTAGTTTCTTGGACACCTTTTAGTGTCCGAAACTTTTCTTCTACACCCCAAAAGCAACCAGCACCAAACACAGCTGTTGAAGTCATTTTCCTGAGTAAAATTCGAGAGATAATTGAATTGGATTGCAATCGGTAAGAATTCAAATAGGCTAATGACCGTAACATAATCGAATTGAATATTATACAATATACTTTTCTATATCATGAAAGGGCAGGATCGCTAAATCCGGCAATGGTACAATAGTACCAGCTACCGGCAGGGATTGTCATTAGGTCATTGGCTGTACCAGTCGTTGGTTGTGCTCTGTCATCATTGCGAATGCAAAATCACCATGAGTCGGTCCATCCGACCCACTCAACACTGTTGTGTTCGAACCTTTCTCAGGTCTTACAGTACGTACATTAAAATAGTAGCGTTCTGTCGCTTCTTGGACAGAGAGACTTACAGTATGCAGTAGACCTGAATGTACTACATAAACAGGACAACTAGCTGAATCAATCACAAAAGTGAATCTCAAAATAATAATAATCTCCAGTAATAATCTCAAATAATTTTATATCACTGCACTAGTCTAACGACTCTAACCTCGCTCCGTCGTTCGTCATAATTGAACGTACTATCAAGCTGGACTAACTGTATACTTTTGACTGTACTATTTGAACAGTCACTCATTCGATCAGTTGCATTGATCTTGGCATTCATAGTCAAGGAAAGCAGTTTGTAGACGGTAATGAATATATATTTCCTGAATGGCTGTACTGTAGTTTGCGGTTAATTATTTTTATGATATAATCTTGGCTACTGTTATTAGTTAATGCAGTAATGATTTATTGCGAATAGCGGTGCTCCTATTTGAACTTCGTTGCTTTTCTTGCAGCGATCTGTCGTCAGTGAGCTTGTATCATCAATGTTGAATTAATGATTGATGCAAACTTAGCAGCCTGCTTTCTAGTGTGACTGCAGTGCTATGAGTACATTAGTGGTATAACTCTAAAAATAGGAATAGATTGTGGGTAATCAACCGCTACGCAATGCAACGATAGATTACTATCATAATAACGTACATAATTACAGTTTTTGATTCAAGATAGTAATGAAATAAAGAAATAGCTAGTCTAACGTATACGTAAGATCAAATAGAAACGAACTAACCGATGGACGTTGGGCAATATTGCAGATATGTGAGCTCGTAGCGTATATACAGTATATCAATAATTGTCATTTAAATTGAATCATGTCATTAAACTATGGGATGATTTGACGATTGCATTTCATGATTATAATAACTATTCAATTACAAGTACAGCTTACTGTTTACAGGTAGCATCTTGCGAATGGCATTGACCAGCATCATCATCATCCACTAAGCTTCCTTTGTTATTAACATTGAATGTATAGGAGTAGCTCGGTAAAGTAAAGAATATGACAGTAATCCCAAATAAAGCTAACACCAGAGAATGCATATTTAAGTAATTATGTCCTTTTTCTCACCATTACAGCTGAAATAGTTTAGTGCCTTGCATCATGGAGCACGTTGGCTTTGCTCGTTTTTAAATTGCTCTTGACAAGCTATTGTCTACTGTAGGTTAATAATTTAAATTATTAATTGGTAAAGTCGAGTATTTATCAGTTGTGATCAGCTATAAAAAAAATAAAGAAAATTAAAAGTAGGTAAAAAATGAGTAGGAGCTTCAAAATACTAACGTACAGTACTGTAAGTGAATGATTCTAAATTTATATGAATTTCTTCAAGTTATTTATTTATTTATTTACTGTTTTAGTGATTCAATTGACTGGCAAATGATTTACTATGTTACTGTACAGTACAGTACAGTACAGAACGACTAACTCTACAGTATGCCTAGGATCTGGGTCCATTTTTTCAACGGTTTTTTATCAACTGGTTTCTGTCAGCGCAGCATACTGTACTGTACAGTGTACAGTACAGAAGTACAGAACCACATTGTACGGTTCTGTACTGTATACATATACACATCTATCTATACTGTATACGTATACATATACATACAGTATATAGATATATGTATACATATGCATACAGTGCTGTACTGTACTGTATACAGTACAGTATACTGTACATATATATATATATATATATGTACATACTGTATACATATACATATACATACTGTGTACATTTTTACATTTTTTCAACGGTTTTTATCAACTAGTTTCTGTCAGTCTGTGCAGCAGAGTGTACAGTGTACAGTACAGTACAGTAGTACTGTACAGTACATGACTACTGTACATTGTACTGTAATGTGTTGTACTGTACACTGTACAGTGTACAGTACAGTACAGTACTACTGTACTGTCCATTTTTTCAACGGTTTTTTATCAACTGGTTTCTGTCACTAGACTCACTACTGTACTGTACAGTGTACAGTACACTGTACACTACAGTACCACATTGTACTGTACTGTACAACACAGGACAGTACTGTACAGTACAGTACTGACAGGACTTGATTGTTCGACTGTTTTTGCACACTGTACGGTACCCAGCATCTTATTATACTGTAGCTCTGCACATACTTTATTTCAAAATTTTACGCTATAGCCAGTCATCGGCTCCTCGCAGACCCCGATGTAAAGTAGCATGGAATAGATTGCAATTGCACTTTTAGAATAACATTGATGCTCAATCTTCCATTAGTTTGGTACAGACGTACAACCGGTGTTCATCGTAGTTATCAGAGCTATTGTGTAATACGTAGAGTAACATTCTAACAAATTAGCAAGCATTACTGTTTGTACCTGCAGCTTGGATGATCGTTGCGGATGATTCGTCAGACTTTGTTGTCAAAATCGATCCCATAACTTCAAATTGGACAACGACATAAAGAATACATAATCATTACTACTACTGCTCACAGCAGCCAAAAATTGGGCCTTGGTCAATGTTAAAAACAAATCAACCATCCTATTTGAAAACTACCTATCCTTCAAAAAATTATGTAACAGGTAAGAGCCACCACAACATACAGTAGTGTACTTGGTAGACGTTAACCATCTTCTACGCGTACAATCGAGTAGATCGATTGACTGCGTGAATTTGGAATAAGTATACTGTCTCTTTTTTATTCTTGCATTATAATCTGCTAGACCTAAAAGATGTAATTATCCTACTATAAAGCAGATCGTAATCGATTGATAATCCTTACCTCAATACAATTAATGTATTTTGTTCCATATTATTGACTAAAGATGTAGACAGAATATTACGCAAAGTTGATAAGGTCAAAATCAAGGTAAATTTACTCCAATTCTACGTAGAGTTCTAAATGTGATCGCTTGTATGCAGTATATATACATTACAGTTTTATTTTTGCCTCTTTATACTATCTTTGGTAGTAAAATGTATCTCAATTTCATTCAACTTTACAACATAAATAAGTATAGATCGTACACGCTATAGTCACTGTACTGCAATGTTATCATACTGTACCATTACTATGCGTATACTAAGCCAAAAGTAGGACTTCTATACACTCTATGTCCATTCAGAATGCCATTGTTACATCGCAATCTCTAAATTAATGATTTCCAACGATAGCCAATGAATAATAATTTCGTTTGATTAATGGTACTAGCTCCGTGAAACGCAGGAACAGTTACAAACGGCATCAAGTAGTGACAATCAAGAAATGAATATGGCCACTGCTATTCACTGGAGGAAAGATGACCAATTTAAGCAAACAATAAACGCAAATGAAAATCCAATGAAAGTAGTCATTCAGCGTGTACCTTCGTATACATTAAATGAAGTCAACACATCTAAGCGTCAAAAATTGAATAGTGATTACAAAGTGACTGCTGACGAAGCCAATCGTGCCAAAGTACGATTCGCAGATAGCCACAAGCCAACAACCGACAGTAGTTTAACCAAAAATGCTGAGGATGGCAATCAAACATCGACACAAGAATGCAAAAATATAGAAGATAGAATGGCAGATATCTCTTCATCTCGGACAATGAAAGCCGGTAGTAAAATTATGAATGAAATAGAATCTATGACCAAAGCTAGAAGTAAAGCTACACATGGTAGTGATAGAAAAGCATTGGAAAATGATGAGATAAATGACTGGAAGACAAAAGGTATAGTAGGATGAATACACGTATAGTTATACGTACCATTATGATTTTTTAGTTAAGCTACCGTAAAATGTGCATGCTATAGCAATAAAGGTAACTATTACCAAGGGTTATAATTTTGAATACAAGTTATTTGTATCAATGACTTGCGGATTTATATAACATGATAAGGCCATGCAGTAAATAATGCAGGAAGAAAAATCTCGCCGGCTTTCAATGTGGAGACTTGCTCTATTTCGAAGAGGAAGATAGCAACTGCTCCCGCTCCTCCAAACTATAAGGGTTTTAATCTTTTCGAGGAGTACACTACAACGATAAAAGAGAAAGAACCTGTTATAGGTATTTCATTGTTAAAGTGTAAAATGCCTGTCTTACTCATATTTCTAATATGGGAATATAATTATTATTATTATTTTTATTGTCTTACAGTTAAAAGGATTAGCCAAAGAGTACGAAATAATGTGGGTAATCAAATGAACTTGCGCTTCAATAAACCCACAACGACTACAACCCAGAATAATAAAAAGCCAGTAATAATCTCAAAAGGTAAAAAGACTATTCGAAAAATCCAGCGCTACGCCGAGAAAGAAGTCAATCTAAAGTACAAGCCCCCCGTCACTCAAATAACGCCATATTCTTGGCGTGAGGGCAAAGAAGCCATTCGGAACGCTTTTAAAGAGACGAAATCATCTCAACCTACAAGTAAATCCCCTCCACCACAGCAGGATTACTCTAGAACTTCATCATCTGCTTCCTCTTCATCAACTTATTCAGCAATGAGAGCAAGTACTCCTACGTCGTCAAAAGGAGTTAGTGATGCTAACTATAAAAGTGATTTAGAAAAAAATGAGGAGGATCAAAGTAGTAGTAAAGAAAAAGAGGACTCGATATATAACGATCGCTTTGAAGATACGTCACCAACTGAGAGTGATGACGATAATACCGAATATCGAGGAATAGCCGATCAAATATTACGCGAATTAAAAGGTTTAATTGCAATTGTCACTGAATACAATTTATATCGCAAACATTTTCTTTATGTCTAATATGTGGAATCATGCATTCTTTCAATTATCTTAGAAGATACCACAAATAACCAACAGTCTATCAATAAATCGTCAAAGAATACTGCTCGGAAACGTAAAGCGGCTCTAACAAAGACTCAAGGTAAAGTACTGCAATGGAATGAAGTGCAAAGCATTTTTATACTGTACTTATCATTTGTAAATTTTTAAAATAACCATTTGAAATCATTGTAATCCTCCTTGCAATGGTTAAAATATGATTTATATAACTGATGATGATGACATATTGTACCTCCTAATTCGTTGAATTGTTAATAAGCCGTAGTATTAACTTGACACTGCAAAGCTGTCTCTCTTAACAATTTTGTCACTAGAATGGCTTATCCGAGCCCCAAAGAAACATAACTTATATTTCTTCAAATAAGCTAAAACTAAAGCGATTCTAATTGCAGATATTATTTTTATTTTAGTTTGTAAATAAAATAACCGGCAAGAAATTTATAGTGTGGGTAATTTACTTAACATAACTCTAATTTTTTTACTTTTAAAAGAACATGCAAAACCGTTGCCAAAGCAGCGTCATTATGATCAGAAAGAAGTACAAGAGTATCAAAAGAAAAAAAACAATTTACGAAATAAGCAACGTCTTGAACAGAGAAAAAAAGAAAAGCTTCATAACGATGAGAAGCGGCGGCGGTTGCAGGTTAATCTTTTATTTATAGTATTTGCTAAAATAATTGCAAAGTTGATAAAATTTTACCACCCCCACCAGGAACTTATGATAAAATAGCCATTAGACAAGATAGAAGTTATAAAAGCATATAGAATTATACTTCGTATTTTATTTTAAGTTTTTGATAGGCTGTTGCAAAATACTAAGATATTGGGTTGACTTTACAGGATCTTTATAATCAACAAAAAGCTTTACTCGCCGCTAATTTACGACAATCAAGAAAAAAAGTCACAAAATTTCATATTGTACAGCAAGGAACTTTTACTTCTAGTACCGCTGAGCAGGACTATAGATTTATAAATAACGTGCAGAACACAGACATAAATCCACGTAAGAAAATATTCAATATCGAATCAGATATACCAAATGTCTGGCAGCCACCAATATCAACTTTGCATAATTATGAAGAACAAGTTGAATCTAGTAATGGAGAGAATCAAATCACAGATAGTGCTTCTTCTACGATTACTAGTAAGATTATCGATTTAAAATCTATAATTAACTGTACGTAAATTGTTATCTTAACTGATGAGTTACCAATTAAATTGCTAGATACTATAGAAGGAAAATCTAATCAATTTAAAGACAATACCTCTATGAATGGAAGCAGTTCGGGTGGCTCGCGCTATCATAATGGAGAAAATGAGATAATCTCTCAACAGCATCACGGTAAGATAAGTAGTGAACTTTTTATACAATATAGATGTAGTCATAAGTTTATCTTTTTTAACAAATACTAAGTTAATGTATAGTATCTTATATTATACTGTACATAGAGTCTAATTAGTCTAGAAGTGGCTTTACATTGTTATACACTTACTGTAATGGCATGCATGACACGTTGATGACTAAATTATTCTTATTATTTTATGTTCGCATTTCTGGTTTGTATAGACTCTGTAATTACTGAAAATCAATCCACTAAAGTAAGGCGCATTGAATCCATAAAGGCAGCTGCTATTCTGTTAAAAGATAGGATTGAAGCAGAGACGAGAAAGTTCATGGCCTTGCAAGCTGCTAAGAAAAGTCAACAGATAAGTCCATCCATTCCTCAAAATTACGCTATACAGCTTTCACAGGATAGCACAGAGGATAAAGACGTCACTTTAAGTACTTTTCATCGAGACATTGATCAAGAACGTGAATTACCAGGTTTCTATCAAAAGTAATATACTAATTGGAACCTTTATTAGTCAATTAATACCAGCATTTTTTTGGTAGGAATACAAAACTTAAAGTTATTAGCCAAACATAATCATGAAGAGGTATGGTTATATTCTGAGTAAATATTCTTTTGAATACCATAAAGTTTCACGATGATTTAATTAATTTCTTAACTGAGATACATAAATATTTGTGTAGATAATTCAAAATAGAGCTGCATCTATCATTCAGGCGTATTATCGAGGTCACCAGGTCAGGAATACGATCAAAAAAGGAAATCTCCTTCCAGTAGCTCTTAAGTTACAAGTTATTGAAGATCAAGTAAATGATCAAAGTTTGGATAGTCAATATGCTAAATCAAATAAGCTACAAACCAGTAATATCCATCAAGAATTTACAGCAAATGATCAAAACGCAGATGAACTGTATAATGTAACATCTAGTGATAACATTAATCAAAGCTATGTTAATGGTAAACCAAGCGTTTCGATTCAAACAACATCTCGCTTTGACGAACTATATAAGAAAGCCATTGATGCTTTGGAAGCTTCCAAAGCTGCGATTGGACCATTGGATCTTGACGATGAAGAGCAATGTGATGATCGAAAAAGTTTTGAAGGAAGCAATTCTGATTCAGTATCCAATGAGGTTAATGAATATTATCAGAGCTTTAGTTATACGTGTTTACTACAGAAAGGATTGATTTAAGTGATAAATAAGAAATAGCCCCGTGATGAATTGTCAGTTTAGCTCATACATAGAACTTTATTATTTTATTAAAGAAGCTGGGGGAGCCTGAAAATCTTCAGTCACCATGGAGGAAAAGCTTACCTTCCGCTTTTCCTAACAACTATGGGTAATTATATATCCAGATTCTGTAAATTTGATTACAATAATTAATGTTGACATAGCTATACCGACAATGTTCAATTGAATTCTTACAGTGTTAGCACCGTGTCGTTAATGATTAGAAATTCCAATAGAAGATATAAAGAAAATTTTAGAAGTAAGGGTTATTACTGTGTTGTCCTTGAATATTTTAATGTAGCTAACTTCAGCACTAATAATAGTACTGTAAGTTACTTTGGTAGCTATGAAATTATGATCATATACGCACTTATTCACAATCTGATTTTGGTGATAGATAATCGTGACCATGATGTTCAGCCGTTGAGTGGTATTGCAAAAGGGAGCTCATCATTACAGGATTTGGACTATGAAAATGATTTCGAAGAATTATCCAAATCGCAAATATCAGATCGCACTGATCAGTACAGTACTTCATTTGAAGAACCTTCAGCTGATAAAATAACTGCTGCTGACGTGCTATCGGAATCAATATCTCAACGTGATTCTGTTAATGACTCTAATATTGCGAGAGGTATTTATTGTAAAAAGCATATTTCACAATATTATCAAATATTAAGGACAAAGCTTTTATTAGAATTATTTCCTAGATAGTAATAGAACATAAATACCATCATGCATATTAAATACGCAGGTGATTCAAACAATGATTATGATGTGGCGAGCCGGATCAGCTTAGATTCAGCTAAGGAAACAGTACAAGCGCCTTCGAGATCTGCTAATAATCTGGTATCTCCTAATGCTCAACCGCCTAAGCTTCTAGAATCAGAAATTTTTAGCAATTCAAATACAACTGAAGACGATAATGCCGTAAAGGTATATTTTCATTTGTCAATGTTAGAGCAAAAGTGCCGTTAGTACGCGTATAATAGTGAATTTATCACTAATATATGTGCTATTTTATAGGAACCTCATCACAAGCTATCTGACAATAGTCAAGCGAAGACATTTTTAGATAACGTTACGCAAACGGATCGTCCTATCAAGCACGAACTATCAGAAAAGCGCTTGTCTCCTGCAGATCTCGAACGACGTCTTCATGCGGAATTACAATATTTAGAATCTATCGATGAGTCAGTTCGTCAGCTAAGCCAAGTAGAAAAAGCTCGAGCCATTTCATTTGCTCAACAAGAAACCGTTTCACTAGCTCAAATTCTTAAGGTAAAATTTTTTTTATGCATATAATATTGATTAGAGAAATTTTTCTCCGTAGTTTTAACTGCATTTGACTTTCTAGGCAAGGCAGTACGAACATATGCAAGAAATGGATAAATATAAGTCTGCTGCGGAAAGAGACAACTTGGAGGTGCAAAAGCGATTTGACGAAGTATGCATTAGTTAACATTATACTAGACACTTTGTACAGTACGAGCATAAATCATACTGTGTTTGTATTATTAGGCAAAAGATGTTTTAAAGTCGGCTTCTGAATTAACTAGCCAGAAGCTTGCCGAAATTAAATCGGAAGCTTCAGAGTCGGTTCGAAGTGCGGCTCAAAGGTTAAAAGAGGTTTGTGATGATATAATTGTCGCTATAAGATTATATTCAACGTGCATATATTAAATTTTGATCTGTTTAGGTGGAATCCGCCATTTCTCAAACAGCAATAAATTTTACACAGCAGTTGCAATCGGTATATCAACATGTTATAATTGCCACGAAGAGATACTCCTTTGAAAGCAAACTTAACAGAATTAAATGTCTTTTTACAGGCCCATTCTGCTACAGTAGCCAAGCTAGCGGATACTGTTGCAGATCACATTGTGAATGCCAAGAGTTTGGCTATTGAAACAGCTAGTAATGCCGCAACTGCCACTATTCAGTCAGTACTAAACAAGGATGTTCGCGATCTTAGAAAAGACGGTGGCGATAGTTATAAAATATCTGAAACTTCATCAAATGATACCGTCAGTTATGGATCCTATTCCTCTAAATTTTCATCACCTATATCGAATAAGCAATCAGAGGTTGCTGAGGCCAGCAAGGCATCGAATTCATCATTCTCAAAATCCAATGTTGAAAATAGTGTCGTGTCTGAACATTTATCAAACGATTCCGGCCAAAATCGCTCAAGTAAAACTTCAATTACTGATTCGAGTGCTAGGTAATAATGCACTAATTTAATGATTTCATTGCAATATATTTGTTGTCGAAGGGATATCGAGATTGTGATAACTCTTGATGTGTAGTTGAAATCATAGGAATTAATATATGCTGTTTTGTAATGTACAGCTTCGCCAAAGAATTATCTGTTACCGCTTCATCCGAAAAAGATATAAGCGAAAACATCGATGGTAGAGCATGTTACTTAAACTATAAGTTAGTTTTAATTTACTCTTGACTCATATTTATATTTGTGTACTTTTTTACTGAATAGTGAGGTCATCTGGTTCGCATGATTATACTTCACGATTTGAAGACCTTTCTTCATCATCGACTATACAAGAAACAGCGGATGCAGACAAGGTATTATGATTGTCTTATATTTTCAATTTAGATATGTTTATTATAATATTAATTATCCAATTCTTGTTCGTTCATTTATGGAACAAGTCCTTTCATGAAGTTTTGCCATCCGTTAGCCATCGTCGACGCTATAGCTCAGAAAATGGTCAATCTAATATCGACATTTCTGACACTGCAAGCATCTCATATAGTTCGGTACGATGATATACGAGGCTAATTACTGTGTAAATTTATAAATTTGATACAAGATTTTTGTGATATAGGAGGATGCATCCCCTGCTGCGACTTTTAATGAACCTTCATCCAATCAAGGAAAATCTCTTTTTGTTAAAAAAAATTTATTTGGTAAATTTACAAAATATATGGTACAGCAATATATGAAGGAAGAAATGGTGCGCGCTAAACATCAAGCCGCTCTACTAAATCTGCGTGAGAAAGTAGTGCAAGAAAAAACAGAAGCCGAAATAGCGTGGCTAGAACATCTGAAAAAGTACTATTATAAATCTAGCAGGAAATAATGGAAATAATATATATCGAGATGATATTTCTTATAACTTAGTTAACTTTTCTTGCTTGTCGTATATTATTCGCAACAGAAAATTTCGTAGTAAGGGTGAAGACGACAAAATGCCTATGTTGCGTAAGCGTCAAAGGAGCCTTTTACTACATCTCCAGGCTGAACAGGTTAGGTCCAGTGAATAAGTGCAAGTATACAGTTTAACACGATCCTGATAAGAACTCTACAAATCTTTAGGCTGAAATTAAGCGACTCAAGGCTGCCAATCGAGCTGCACAAGAAGAGCGAAAATTAATTATGTATCAACAAAAGGAAATTGATCGTATTAGAAAAACAACTCAAGCATATCGTGGTAAATTATCTAAGCATAAATCAAAAGATGATAAGAACGCATCAGTATTAGATCAAAAACTGGTATGTATAAAAGCGGTTTATAGCTTTCCGGTATAATCATTTGTAAAAAATTAAGGGCGATTAAGATTCTTAAGACTGCAATATTTAAAATTTAATAGACTGGTAGTGATATTAGCGCAGAAGATGAGGTCATGGATTCAAGGCTACCTGCGGGATTGTCCACGTCTCCTGATGTCGTTTCTGTCGCATCGAAAAGTGATGACTCAACTCCAACAGAAACTACTGTTATGAAAAAATTGAAAAATATGCAGAAACACTTTTCGGAAAGGTAAATGCCAAGAACTTTTCCTTATGTGTGAATAATAAACTTACATTCTCTTTCTGATTTATCTGCTGTAGATTTTTAACTCCCCGTGAGCAAAAGTTACAGCGTCGTCGCAAAGAAGCTGATGCATTATTAGATAAGCAAAAGCGTCTGCTAACATGGAAAAATGATTTGGATGAAGAGCAGGGTGCAATTAATCTTACATTAGATAAAGTCGCTGAACTCGGAACTAGCCAGCTAATAGAATCAACATCTAAAGGAGCAAAGATAGGAACAGCCAAAAAGTTTTCTACCGATGAATTCAATGATCATGATAGTTCAAATCTAGCAGAACACGACGCTATCAAAAATACAACAAAACAAAGTCCTAACATATCACTCAATGATGAGTATAATCATATTACAAGTTCGAGTAATGATAGTGTAGAAGTGACACCAAGCCAATCTAAATTAGATAGCTCCGACTTAGGTGACTCTTACACTCGGAGTCAGAACTCAGACTCTATTGCTGAGGAAATTTCAAACGAAAGTAAATCGATATCTACAACAAACGAGGGTACTCAAGAAAATGATGAAATGTTTGGAGATTTGCATTCTATTAACTCTTTAGCTAGTGTTCCACTGGAGAACGAATCATCTCAGAAAGAGATTAACTCCGGAAAAGCTTCGAATTCTATCCCGTCAGAATATGCTAATAGCACGTTTGAATCTTCTGAACCAAGTACGTTGCATACGGCCTCTGCCTCTAGTCAGGCAATACAGGAAAGCCTCGACGAGATTTCAGCTTCAAAAAAATTTAGTGATAAGCAATATTCAAGCGCAGCTTTGGCGAACAAATCAGCCAACAGTTATTCTTCTTACTCAAATACTTTCGTTAGCAGTGAAGACGAAGCTTCTGCTAACGAGTCTCAAACGACAACAGAAACTGCGTCTGATCTCAGCGATATTGAGGGAAGAATACGAAAATTAGCTACGGAATTACAGCTACGTCGACAAATTGCAAAAGATTTAATTAAAGAGAAAAAAAAATTAGAGAAAGATAGACTAAGAAAGCAGGAAGAACAACTTCGCGCAGAATTAAATAAAGTAGAGACCTTTATTAGCAAAGTTAAGTCAGAAATTTCGGATAAATCTCAGGAATTTGCACATTCAAGTGTAGTTAAACCCCCCACAAATGCAGCGTTGGAGCAGAAATTGGTCAATCTTAATAAGAGTCTCAGTGAACGTAAAAAGGCGTCAAAAGTTATATCTAATGTTTCTGTACCGATTCAGACACAACTTCAATCTAGTGAAGAGAACAGTTATTCGTCGATTCAGTCTCATAATAATATGTCCAAGAAATCTGGTAATGGTAAGTAATCCTTCAGCAATGTAAATAATTCTGTTGATACTCTTATTAACCGAAATTTAAACTATTTTTCTGATTAATAGAGAATACAGGATCAAGCACGCAAAAATCAGTATCTCCTCTGCCTATTGAGGATAATTTAGAAGCTAGTTTATCTGATGTTGATATTGAATCAAATTTAATAATAAATGCTAAAAGTAATGATTCGGAAGATAAGCATGTCGTTGCCGAAATGCCAAGAAATGATCAACCACAAGATAATGAACTCGAAAAAGCGCTTTCTGAAGTTGGTAATAGCGATATTACAAGATCATCAAGTGGGACAGTTACTCCTCATTCTGATGTCAATTCAAGTGTTCCCTCTTCCATAGATGATATTCAGCACGACATGATTATAATTGAGAGGCATACAGAAGATGACAGTAGCGGTAAAATGTCTAAAACCTCGGCTAGAAAGAGTCAGGACAACATTTCGGTATCATCAAGTAGGACTGTAACTCCTGTATTCGATGATAATAAGGATGAAGAGCACGATTACGTTGATTACTCAGACGATTGGGATGGATCTACTGAAAATGCTACGCAACAACGGGGAGACGACAAGGACTTGTCCATTCTGGAAGATGAAGACATTTCGAAAGCCTCCAGTAATAAAAACGTCGTCAAACCTTCTGTGGACGAAATCTTAGAAGATGTATCAGATCGTTTTATAGCAGATTCTGCTGATACATCCGTAGAAGAAGACATAAAATCACAGGCATCCAATATCGATGTTTCTTCGGCTTCAACTATTTCTGCTAATAGTCCCATTGGAGGTAATATAGAATTAAATGATCCACAAGATTCTTTCGCCTCCAATACTTACTCTAGTAGCAAAGCTTCAACAAATCTTAAGAGTAATAGGAGTACTTCACGCGTCGAAAGTATTTTAAACGATGCTCAAGGTGCAGAGAATGAGAAGAGTAATGAAATATCGCCTAAACCTGATGCAGATGACTGGCACGAACCACCTATAGATTCAGAAAAATTAGATACATCTATATCTGAAGATATTTCAGAATCTATCGAAGACGATACTTCCAATAAATCATCAGTAAGCATCGAAAAGGAAACGTTACGATACGGTGAGGACTTCCCCGCAGACGAAACCCCTGCTAATGTAATGCATACAACATCTGATGTCGTTGGTAGTCTTTCTGATAAAAGTATTGATTCAGATGTGAAACAAGAAAGATCTGAATCGGCCTTGTCGCGTAGTGCAGCTAGTGATGAAGAAAACTCCTTAGAAAGTAATCGAAACGTAGATCCAATGATATCTAGGACACCTGATCATTCATCTCACGATGAGATTGATACTGAAATGGGGGATCTTTCTAATAAAGATTATCTTTCAGATAGCAATAAAGATAAAGAATTAGTAGATCCTTCACAAGATTTAGCAAATAAGGAGGCAGAATATTCAGACACAAACTATTTATCTGACGCCTTTTCTGGCATTTCTTCATCCGATATTGGTGAAAAGGATGATCAAACAATTGCTACTACGTCACGCGAATCATACCAATGGAATAGTCTTGAAACTGTTACGACGAACATGACGGTAAATTTATTAGACGATGCATTGCTTGCAGTATTTAAGGTACGATTGTCGAAGGAAAGCCGTACCAAAGCACAGGAATCTGCCTCGCATGATCAAGAAGTAATGAGTGCTGAAAAACCGAATGTCTTACCGTTTCAATCCCAGACCGCTGCAATAGAAGATCTGAAAGGTGATGATACACCTTCCTTACTCAACTTATCTGAACTACCGGAACCTTCAGTACCTCGTAGTAAATTAAACGACTTGAAAAACTTTGATATGGAAGTAGATGAGTTATACCATGATTTTGAGAATAACAGCCAAAATTATCAGGATTTCATCCACGAAGTCTTACCTGAAGATGAACCGACAGTTACACCTGAAACCAATCAGGAGGTAATTCAGTATTTTGTCCCGCATACGGAAGAGTACATTAAAGAAATTGTCTCTACAGCTACTGACCAAATTATTAGCCATCACAACTTGAATGGCGCTGATGTTGAAATAAAATGCCCGGAAAATTTTAACTATAATGAAACTGACATTAAGGCTGATACCGAGTTTGAAAAATCTAGCCTTCGTTCATATCATGTGATGATTTTTGACTTAGTCAAAGAAATCCTAGATGAATATTATGATTACAATAAAAATGCAAATGTCAATTTACCTTTGTGGATGAAGCCTAAACGCCTTCGGTTACCAGCCCGTCTGCGTGGTACTCCTTTGAATGCAAGTAATAAAACTATAAAAGAACATACAATTGGCTACGTAGTAGAACTCCTTAAACTTAAAACTGGAAAAGGTTCAGTTTCAAAGAAAAATTTAAAAAAAGACTTGGTGGATTCTATATTAGCACAAGAATTGGCCGAAGAGGAACCTGACTGGATTGATTACGACAAGGATGAAACGTGCGTAAAAATGCAAGTAGCCGACTCTATACTGTCGAGCTTGCTAGAAGAAACATCTTCCATATTTAAAAATACTAAATGCATGACCGATGTATACGAGTAGAGTGATCTATTTTAAGACGAGTTGAAAATAATAAAAACACTGTAAGCAATTTATTCTACTGCAGCCCAAGATATAATTGTTCTATTAGAGAAATTAGTTCACCAACTGTTGATGAAAATTAATTTACGTATGTACGGGTCTATTGATTGCAATTATTGTCCAACGAAACTGTTTTGATTATTGATTTATGATCGAATGACAAATGATAGAATTTTTAAGTTGTTTATAAGTGTTTGCGACTTCTGTTGATAATTTGTGATTGTCCACTAGCGAAGGAGTATTTTTTACGACTATTGTACAGGGTCTTCTCAAGTTTTAAAATTTAATTTATATGATTTGACACTTTTGCCAAAACACAGCTTTACCGCCTGTAATTAATATGATGCCACCTTCCTGTAGCTTTGATAGTATTTTAATGTAAATACGAATACACACGTACGTAAATTATTTTACGCTTATATACAGAAAACGAACATACTGTACTTGTATACCGTTTACTACGAATATATTATTATTATCTATGTATATATATATAATACGTAACAATCAATTAAAATGAGGCACGTAGCCGAAATCCAAGAAAAACTGCTAATGCTGAGATGGTAGTGATTGAGTCTTGCGAAATCAAAGACAAATTCAGTCGCTATTTCTATCTTTAAGTAAATTTTTAGCATATAAATAAACTAAAGGAGTAAAATTTATTGATGTCTCGAAAATACTGATTCTTTCCAAACTGAAACATCATTAGAAGAATAGTAACAGCCAGGCGTTGGAAATATTGTATTTAAGTAATTTACGCCCAGTTTGATGCAGTAGAGGTTGGAATAATTAACCATTTTTGTTTCCATAGTTTACGGGACAAACTTTGTAATGCTTTGGAACAAATTTAATAGCAGGGATTTGTATCAGGAAGAAAGTAGACAGAAATCGAGATTCAGCGTGAACTATGTATTACTCATAGTCGCTAAATACAGTAGTTTAAGATCGCAACCACCTAAGCTCAAGGTAGATTCAGTGACACAGAAGATTGTCAAGTTATAATATTGTAGTCAGCGACTCTATTTAAGCAGAAGTTGCTGGATGGAAGTCGGTGGCAGTAGTCCTATCACTGTGGTATGCATACGACATGTTTGCATAGCGGAAACAGAGATAAACTAATACTCCTGAGCAGAAATATTCAATACAAATACTGTACTACGCCTAGCATGAGAACGATCCCATAAAAGACTGCCATCGTGGATTAATTAATTCCAGTAGGAAATCTACAGTTAGTAACCCATGAGCATGGACTAACATATTTTAGTAGTCCATGCCATGACTGCAGATGAGCGGAGTAGTAGTTGAGCACTGGCTTGCTCCTTCTTTGTGTCCTCATTTCGCAAAGCACGAAGCATGCGCATTAAGCGTAATCCCTGTGATCATGGTAGTCTCTCTGCAGTCCATCCCTGACTCCATACAGTATGCTGAGTACAGTGTAGTCATTCTGCAAAGCACGAAGCATGCGCATTAAGCGTAATCCCAGCGATCATGGTAGTCTCTCTGCAGTCCGTCCCTGACTCCATACAGTACTGAGTACAGTGAGTACACTGAGTACAGTTGTAATCATTCTGCAAAGCACGAAGCATGCGCATTAAGCGTAATCCCAGTGATCATGGCAGTCTCTCTGCAGTCCGTCCCTGACTCCATACAATACACTGATTATAGTGTAGTCATTCTACAAAGCACGAAGCATGCGCATTAAGCGTAATCCCAGTGATCATGGCAGTCTCTCTGCAGTCCGTCCCTGACTCCATACAATACACTGAGTATAGTGTAGTCATTCTACAAAGCACGAAGCATGCGCATTAAGCGTAATCCTAGTGATCATGGCAGTCTCTCTGCAGTCCGTCCCTGACTCCATACCGGAGCGCGGACTCGTCGTTGACGTCATAGCTGAGATAGAGAGTACATTCACTACAGTATTCAGTATTTCACGTTCGTATACTGACCATTTTGTTTTCTTTTTTTTTACTTGCTTTGTAGAGTACTTTGGCTGCTGTTCTAGACCATATTGTCGTGCTCAACTGGATGACTGCAACAGAAACTGATTTCAGAAGAGAAATCAAGAGTCTCAGCCGCGAAGACTGACGCTACGTCAAACGGTCAGACGACGACGTAGACCTGTGCAGCCAAGGAAAGAAGGAAGCCATGATTCACAGCTTGTTCATCCTGAATAAAAATTGGTATAGCAATCGTAGCTTAAAATTATTGAATAATACTATTACACTAAAAGTTAACTTATTTACTTTACAACTGTGCCATGGCTTGAAAATACGATAGTAATGGATGAGTCTTGACGCATTGATGTATTATTGAAAGCAATCATGACTACCATAAGCTAATCCTACAGCGAATGGACGATAGATGAATCATAATAGCATTACCACTACAGTATAATAAAATACTTGATTCCTTTATTAAGTACGGTGTTTATTGGTATAAAATTTCGCTATAAACTAATATTTCTCGAAAATATTGACCCAATAAACTTGTAGCGAAGTGTTCTTCGAAAAGCACTGGAAAAGTGTGGTCAGTCGTTCTGTTTGCGATCACTTTCTTGAAGCATTAAATCAGGTAAAATTAAAAGTAGGATCGTAAATAGAGAGAGACACGCAGTACTGACTTGATATTGAAATCGGTGTCATCAAAATGAAATTATTGTATTTTATAACCAAAGAAACACTAGTGCAAGTAAGCAATACAATCCATTTTTGCTTCTATTTCCTTTTGTTTTTAGGCTTCTTCGCCAGATGATGTTCCCACGGCTATCGGTGCTCCACGTCATATATTAATTAATATATACCGGAATAAATTATTCTTCATCGCAGTAGTCCAAGGCGAAGGTAACTATCACACGATTTCAAGTTACTAACAAGTTGATGATACAACTTTCCCTTTTTTTATCATCTAGCGTTTTTGCCACTGCTTTTTATCAACTAACCGATTGTTTTTTACTGTTACATGGCTAGTACCTCCTCTATTTGTTATCGAATTTCTTCATCGTGTCGTCGATACCATCACGGACTATTTCTCTAGCTGTACCGAATTGACCATCAAAGATAATAGTGTGGTAGTCTTTGAGGTATTCATGGCATCAATTTTCACTCTCGAAATATTATCGAAGAGATCTGTTTTTGCAAAAATTTCAGTCGATACTTAGATTTATGCCTATCGAAAGCGAAACGGATGATACTGTATGTACTGTTTTTGAAACATGAGTGCAGTGATATTCGTCATAAAATGCTATCAGTCATATAAATGTATCTGTGTTGTTCATCTTCTACCAATTACATCCAAATAATTACGTTCCATAGATCTTGCTACACTTCTTATCGCATGTCATAGCGAAAATGATAATCGTACGCTGTTGGATAGATGAAATATGGAGTTCAACTTCAAATCTATGGAAACGATTATAAGTTATTATACAATATTTAGTATTACTCAATTAATCCTATTGTGTATTTCAACACGATTTAGACCTCATACCTTAAAGTATACATGACGATATTAAAAAATTTTAATTTATTACAATTCAATAAAGACTCTGCTCTGCTGCCGTATAAAATTTAAATTTATCCAAACACGACACTAATTCGCATGTTTTTGTACGATCCGCGAATTATTTCCATTACATAAATCTATTTTGCCTTCTTTAGATTCTAGAAGAAATGTTAGATAATGGTTATCCTTTAGCAACGGAATTAAATGTCTTGAAAGAGCTTATAAAGCCACCAAGTATTGTAAGAAATGTCATGAATACCGTTACAGGAAGCACAAAGTAAATATCAAAAATAAATGATAATTTTAAAGATAAACTGGTTATAGTAATAAATGATCTAATTTGATATTTACATCTGTATCGCAATAAATGTATCCATTTCTAAATTACTTATTAAGTGTTGGCGGTCAGCTTCCAACTGGACAATTGTCGAATGTTCCTTGGCGTAAAGTAGGCGTAAAGTATACTAATAACGAGGTAATTGAAAGATTCTATATCTAATAAACTATTTCTATGATCTTACTAGCAAATCGTCAACAGAGCTATATATTGATGATCTAAAATACAAAGGCATAACAAACCCTGCTTAAAATATAATGGTATATTTGGTTATGTGTTAATTTACTAGGTTTACTTCGATTTTGTTGAAGAACTGGATGTAATAATAGATAAAACGGTAATAGAAACATTATTTCTGTAAGCTTTACTTTTCTTAGTTTACAGCAGATGTCATTCATTAATAGCATCGTAGACCTTGCATTTTGTTTACACCTTATCCTCTAACCTTCCGTCGCAAAAACAATGATTAATTTGCATTCTTTAGGGTACCACTGTTTTCGCTGAAGTAAATGGAGCGGTAAGCCAATGGAAAGCTGAGCTGCACAGTACTGTATTTGATGTTATAGTAACTAAAAATATTAAATTTGTACTATCTAGATAAAATGCCAATGCAAATTGTCGGGAATGCCAGGTACGATACGATAACCATTAGTTATAGATACATACACTCATATACTTACATTCGGTAACGAAGAATTACATTGAAACATACATCTTATTTGAAATATCTCTTGATCCTTCTGTTCAATAATGTTAAATTTTTTATAGATCTAGTCATGACGTTTACCAATCCACGTATGTTTGATGATTTGAGCTTTCACCCATGTATAAGATACAGAAGATGGGAGGTAATATTATTTTTATTGTAGCTTATTTTATTTCATTAAATGCCTTCATTGAAGATATGATATACGGTATTATCTTTCAAATGTTATAATAGAACGAACGGGTAGTTTCATTTGTACCTCCAGACGGTAACTTTCAATTGCTATCATACCGGTTGGGAACAAACAGGTACCAGTTTATTTCATGCCACAGCTTAAATTATGATTGGTAATCGTCTCCTAAAACTTTAGAATTGCTTATATTTATTTATCTTATAATAATGCTTCAGTGTCGTCGCTATTCCCGTGTATGTAAAACCGACAATCTCGTTTCAAGGGGTAAAACTTTAGAAATACGAGAACTTTGAATAATAATGAAAAAATTTACTGTCTTGAAAATGTCTTGTATTATAATTTAATGGCGTATGTATTTGTATCAGTCATCCGGCAGATTTGAAATAACTGTGGGTCCGAAACAGACGATGGGGAAAGTAGTAAGTTTAAGAATAATTTTTATCTGAAATTAGATTTAATATTGATCTTTCCGTTGTTGTTTTTGTAAGGTTGAGAACGTAGCTATCTCGATGACTGTTCCCAAAGTAGTATCGAATGTAGTGCTTTCTAATAACCCAGGTAGAATTGATAATGCACGTATCACGCCTGTTAAAGTGCTATCTTGTGATTATGATGAGCAATCTAAACTTACTGTCGGATTTTTTTATTATCTAGAGGGCAATTTTACTTATGATCCAGTTAGCAAAACCATGCGCTGGGAGGTTAGTTTTTACACCCCACCTGAGGATTAGCTCAGAAATTGTGTTTTAAATTCGAGTAATTAATATTATAATTATTATCTTCCAGATTGGTAAAGTAATGCATCAGAAAATCTCTACAATTCGTGGAAGTGTAAGATCAGATTATATATATATACGCCTTATGATTGTTGAAAAGGTTATGCATCATTGAATTTGAAACTTCCAACCCGATTTTCTCTATAGATGCCATTGCAAAGTGGGGCAAGTGCTCCTGATTCGAATCCTACCATATTGGTAAGCCAAGCAATGTTTTTTAAGTCAATGTTTTTACGTTTCATTCCAACTAATACGAGACATCATTCTTTTATTAGGTTGAATTTAAAGTTAATCAACTAGCAATTTCAAATATTAAAGTTAACCGTTTGGACATTTACGGAGAGGTAATAGTATTAAAGCATTTTAATAGCAACATTTGCTGAAGCAGACATTTAATGTACATCAGCTAATTATATAATTATTAATCTATTCCTTGCAGAAATACAAAGCTTTTAAAGGCGTAAAATATATAACAAAAGCTGGTAAATTTCAAGTACGGACATAAATGAAATTTTTTGTTGCTGTCTTACATGCTTAAAACTTGGAGCAAGCTTGCGAATTAGCAATTCAATTTGCTACCTTGTACTGTTACATGCCTGATTGGTACGTTAGAAGTACGACAACTACAAATCCAGACACAAAATAATTGTCGTCGAAAGTCCACAGATTTAGATATAATAAAATTAATTGCTGTATTATACGCAAATGATAGCGTCTGTTACTAATAAACAATAATATAAAATTATACATTTATGTTGAAATGGAATACTCTATTATATCCTAATCTCATCAATATCTCTTTACGGATTTAGAGTGTCTTACATCATATTTTCTATAGCTTATTACGTCATTAGCAGTATATTTGTATGTATTTAGAAAATAAGATCAAGTCGATGCCAATTTGTTAATGATCTTTTTAGCAACTTGGAAATACGCCTCTGCCTGAAGTAAAAAGTGTAACTTGTATTGATAGATTGTATCTTTCTACATAAAATTGAATGGATTGTTACAAATATCATGCAAAGAAACTGACCTCTGTGCTATCAGGATTTAAAACCGTAATTGGTGTACCGTGATCAGATGTTTCACGAATGCGTAATGTTAAAGGAATATCTCCTATCATGGTATGAAAGCAACAGGATTAGTGGACATTGGCAAATAAGAAAAACTTTAGCTATGCATAAATAATTATTATCGATATACTGTAATTGATTCACCTATCGTTTCTATTTTCATTTCATCTGCAACTGCATGAGCACCATCATGGCCGAAAATGTGAGAGACATGGCCACACTTTGGACACTGATAAGAGCTCATATTTTGCACTAATCCTAATATCTAGTCACCGCAATAGTAGAATGAATGAAAGTAAACAATAGAATTCGGGTTCAGAACCCTTCATTGTTTCACAAATTTAATACTAACAGGAACATTCACTTTACGAAACATTTCGGTTCCTCTGCGTACATCCATTAATGCTATGTCCTGAGGTGTAGATACAATGACCGCACCTACAATTTAAGCATAGGCATATTCAAATAGATTCACAACAGGAATTCTTGTTTACTTTACTCATATCAGAAATCAGCACTCTCGTAGATGATTGCTTGCCTGTCACAGGAACCAATTGACTTATTGAGAGTTGGGTGTCTCCTGTTCCAGGTGGCATATCGATAACTAAGACGTCTAATTTATTCCATGCGACGGTATATAACAGCTTTTGAATGGCAGACATAACCTGATCCATTACAAATCATACGTTTCAGCATATGAATGACAATGTTGACCTCGCTATAAGACTTATCATTTATGGGCAAATACGTTGTGTACCATCAATCCTCGCCAAATAATTGGAGCACCATCATCAATCAAAAAGCCCATTGACATGCTGCAAAAAATCATAGCAGTGTGATATATTAGCGAGACTTAGAGGACCAGCTTTCAGTTGATGATTTAATAATATGTTGTTTCATAAATATGAAGTACTTACCAAGGTATCTCATAATTGACTAACGGTACCATCAGTCCATCTAAAATTAAACATTGAAAGTACAAGATAAAACACTATGTATCTATCAACTAGATAACTTTCTTCATCCTCAATGAAAGTAAATCCTGTACATACGGGTATACATCCGACAGCCAAGCTATTTTGGGTAGAACTTTTATAATGCATTAAACGCTACACTTACCAGTTGTAAGTCGAGGATTCCCATTTAAATTCATTAACCGCGGTATTGACGGTCCAAACACATCTGCATCTAATAATCCTATAGTCAGCGACTGCAATGATTATGTTACAGAGAAGATCATTACTAGCAAGTATATCTCCACGGAAATAACGGGGGAACTTTAAATTTCAATGAGGACTAATTATTCACCAAATTGACATATCTTAACGGATAGAATTACCTTTTTTACGTGTTTCATTCCTAGAGCAAGGTTTACTATGCAAGTATATTGAAGGATAGTTTTAGTGTATGAGAATGACTAGACTACATTTAGTCCAACCTATCAGCTTACATGCAAGAATTTTCAATAGTGAGAACATAAAATAGTTGAGATTATACCTGCAGTTGTTGATTTTCCGACACCTCCTTTACCAGATGCAACAACCACTACTTTTTCGACACCTGGAATCGGTTTTTGCTTTGGTAAACCTCTAGCAGTAAGTTTACGTTGTCTGTCTGCTTCTACTTTTGACTTTTCGGTATCTCTAATCCCCTGCGATTTTAGATTGTATTAACAGTGTAATTGCACATACAAGATGTACTTATACATTACAAGATAATTGTCTTGTAGTAGCAACGATAGCATACTTCTCGTACGCTGGCTATCGTGATCTACCGAAGATAGATTTTACAAACGGCACTACCTAATATTGTTTATTTTTAAGGCTGTCATTGAAAGCTTTAATAGGCATTTATTTAGACATCTATTAAGTGTATTGATGCAGTTGTGATTATATATGCAAAATATACTGCCTAGGTCATATTCTTAGCTTGTAAAGTTATGATTACGTTCTCATTATACCATGTTCATATCATCATTAATAGGCTCCTTATATGAATATTTGATGTTCTAGCTACTAAGTTGCAACATGTTGCGTAGCTTCTGGTTACCTACCAGTGGATTATCGTGAGATAATAAAGAACCATTGGTATATAGCAGTCGGTAGTTTTTCATTACAGTCTGGTTTATTCTACCCATTACGAAATGACTCTTTAAGCTAATAGAAATTAATCAATCATTACATTTCATATACAGTCCAGTATCAAATACCAGATGATAGCAGTTGATACACAAGAGGAAAAAACTCATCCACTTGAGCTCAGTATGCCGCTGATGAGCTGCTTTACCTAGTAAGGGCCATCATTTCAACTATCCACTTCCCCATGACAACAAGCAATGATAGTCTTTCGTTAGCATAAAGATAGGCGGCAGAGTATCGCTTCTAATTTGATTGTGTCTCTCCACATTCAGACATCTATTTACGAGTTTCAATTCTACTATGCAATCCTTCTGACTAATTCGTCGATGGTAAATACAGAACGCAAATGCAATTATTAACCCGAGTGCTAATGCAAGATTTGCATATGGATTTGCAGAATGTGCTTACCGACATGCGGACGGACATGCCGCCGAGGTCAGACCATAGAAAAGTACAGTACCATCAGTCCATCAACCGGGCATACCGTACAGTACATTACATTGTAACAAATTTCAATTTTAACAGCTTTTACTATAGAGAAAATGAAAGGGATCGACAGTAATTCGATGCACACCACTGTACTGTACACTGTACGGTATTGTACTATACTGTACAGTACAGTGTACTGCAACGGTACAGATACTGGACACCTTATACAGTATAGCAACCCATACATGATCCTCTGACTCACTACACAGTACCAAGTCTTTACCGGCTAATTTTACTAATATAGATGTTGTACAATATAGCAGTTCAGACAAAAGCGACTAGTACATGTTTTTGTTGGTTGCTATAGTAACTAAGGGAGACTCCTGAGACTCCCATCAATCAGAGCCACGCTAGCACTATAGTAGATGATCAAAACATCTTTCGGTCAATTTTCGAATAAATCATTTGATAGAGAGAGAGAAGCAAAGGCGTAACCTTGAGGATGACTCCAGAGGAGGCAAATAAGTGGATGTGTATACAAATGCTTCATACTATTAATCAATAAGTATATCGGCTACCTTAAAAAGAGAAGAATAGTGGAAAGACGAGCATACTCTTAATCTGGCATCTTTCCTTAGGGTATGTCCAATATAGTATACGTTTAATATTTTCATTACTAGATTGAAATGTTGATCTTGAACTAATAAAAGGTGCTCTAAACTTCTATATCATCTCATAGTTTTCGTTGATGTACAGTATAGTAACCACATTGAATCATACCCTTGATAATACGCATGCACTGCTTCATACAGTATATGAGCGTTTGAACAAGAGCATGTGTATCAGTACAAATAGTGTATGTTGGCATTGTATCGTAATTGAATTACTACCTCTACACAAAATCATCATACGACTTGACTATAAACACTAGCTACATTATTTTAGATAGAGATTTGCGTAAAGTAAAATATCTTGTGGAAAATTTTCTTCAATAGCTAAACATCAATTTATCACATCAACAGCCAAGTAGATGGAATTATTGCATACGAATACTAGGTACAGGATATACGCATAATTTTATTTTTCATATCTGTAGAATATATACTTTATTATGGTATACACATACTGTAGAACAACATAGATAGAGATTTATGTAAAATAAAATGCATTGTCGAAAATTTTCTTAAATAGCTTAACTAAAAATCTGTCATGTCAACAGGCAAGTAGATGGAATTATTTATAAAAATACTAGGTGAAGGACATAATTTTTATTTCCATATCGTATTTATATACATAGAATATAAATTTTATCATGGGTATAATCATAGAATTACTGTCAATTTTAAAAATACTTACTAATACGCTTTAGTTTACTTTTCGTACTACCACATCATTATATCTTTTTCGTGATCATAATTTTTATTAAAGTACTAATTATTATGATGGCGTCAATTGTAAAAATACCAGATATTTACTGTAGTCACCATGATCGAGTATAACGTTAAATAATTAGATAGCCTCAAACTAAGTAACTATCAATTGCAGTTACTTTACCTCAATTTATAGGCTTAAAATATCATGCATTAATAGCAAACAAGGAAATTCATAAACATCAATAGAGTTCAAGCGAGGATAGACGTTGTAGCTTATCAGTTAGCTTTATTAATTTCTGGAAATCGATTTCGACTTAAATTCAGTATTAATTTGTTCAGAAATCACCTCTTCTTAACTTATATTTATACAGATTTTAAAGATTTTTTTATCATATCCATTTGATATTGAGTTCATTTAAAAACTTAAAGTAGTTGTTGCTACTTTTTGAAATGGCTAGACAGCTTTTCTCAAATAGTTATAATAGGTCTTTCATAACCATAAGAATAGGACTTCATCATTTATTCACTACGCTACCAATAAATTTTTTTTTCATGATGATCATGCAATTTTTAAAATTTGCTAATTACGACAATACTGGATTTGATGACATTCGTTAGTAAGATAAATTGATAACAGAATAAAATGTTTATTAAGGATTTCATCTACTTATTCTTATATAGTCCTATTATAGAGTAGTTATAAAATTAAGCTAAAGGTAGCAATAGTATCGTGATCTAACTAGATAAAATTTAAATTTTGGTAATTTTTCATATCTAGTAAGACAGTCAATAAGTATACCTGTATTGGTTTTTGGTTTAACGCTGTAGCTACTATTGTTACTTCGTCCTTCTATGTTAGCACTTTGTCACTATTTATGATTCCTATTATTGTTGTTTTCAAATGGATCAGGAGAGAATAGGAAACAAGATGATGAATAACTCATTATCGAGAATTTCAGCGAGTAATAGCGATAGTAAAACATTAAAAAGTATAGCGGTAAGAGATCATGAACAGGACGACGAACAACATAAGATACCGCATATGCCGCATCCGCCTTCTATTCCAAATTATAAATCAAGACATGGACGTACTACTGTTCATCCACTTCTTCAGTCGCAATCCTCATCTAGCGACAGCGAACAGGATGGAGATAAAAATAAAGACAGGACTGTAACTACCAAGATAAGAAAAAAGCAAGATCACAAAACACATAAAAGCCCAATCTATTCTAGAATTAGGAATACACGTATTGTACCATCAAGTCCAATTGCAATTGGTAGTAATCAGCCATTAATACAATCGCCAAAGCGGAGAGGAAGCCTGCATTCGCTTGATAGTAATAGCTCTTGGAATACTAATTGGAGTGTTTATCAGGGATCAACGCAGACATCAACACCTCAACAAGCAGATAAAATTCATTCAAAACTACAAACAACTGGAAAATTATCAAAATTAAGGTTGCCAATGGATCAACATGGCCAACAATCTCTAACTAAATCAGAAACTGATCTAAGACCTACGGCACTACCACCAATCCAATCGATACAGTTAAAAGGGGATCATGACGGCCGTGATAACCCAAATGGTAGTCTACAAGCTTATCGAAATCGCGTCGGTTCATTCGATTATAACCTAAATCGGCAATATCATAGTGATCAAAACTTAAAAAAGTTAGGAGATGGTAGAGTGAAATTATCTAGTATGTCTTTAGATGATCACAACCTGAACAAATCAACAAAGTTTAACCAAAGTACTGTCATGCTACCAATTTATACGGATCATATCCGTAATGGAACATATGAAAATCACCATAAAGAAATGGAATTAGATCGTTACTTTCCTGACCGACAAGTTTCACTCTTTGTAGGAACATGGAATATGCATGGAGAAAAGGTGAGATTCTGCATTCTACTTTACAACGCGACATCACTCTTTAAAGTATATATTCCAGTAAAGTAATGTTTATTTGGCACTCTATACTATTAAAAGAAGAGGGGAAAGGAGGAAAGGATAAATTAACTCTTTTATATCCAAACTGATAATAATAATGGATCAACATTTTGATCACAGTTTACGATCCACTCTGGTGAGGAGCTTAGTCAATATTAGTGACTGATGTATCAGTGTATCAGTTACTGATACTTCAACTGCGTTAAGATGGATGAATATCAACATCATCACAATTAATTCAATTTCAATAAATCGTGCAGTATTTACTTCAGCTACCTTCTCTTTAGTTTAGGGTTTTTTGTCGCGAGTTGTTAGTTATCCACCCGTCGAAATCGGGAAATAAGATATCGAAAGTTTATAAAGCTCATTAGCCACTACAGTACAGTAGCATTATTTTTTCTGACGAAAAATCCTCTTGTATTCTATTGTCCTTAATCTTATACTGCTAGTAATACTACATGTTTTAGCATCACGAGCGAAAATTTCGATGCAATCGCTCATTAAAAATTCAACGAAGAATACGACGAATATTCTAATTTTCTTTTTAAATTGGATAAACATTTTTTAATTTTTATTGCCTAAAAGGAGAACTAAAAATTCCTGTAGTTGTTATGATGTAGTGAATAATGTTTCATCCTATGCTTATTTTTAAATTAAAATTAGGATTTACTTGATATTCTATGTAAAAAAGACTTTAGCTTATTTCATAATCTGGACCAAGCTTGAACTTCATTTAGTTCTATGTTCTATGATCTAAGGTATACTTCAATTTTCCTTCATCTTTTCGTTTTATTAAAAGAATTTTTTTATATTTAGAAATTGTAGTGTAATTGAATATAGTCAAATATCAATTGACAAGATGCTACTTTCTTCCAAAAATGTTACGATCGTACTTCTGACACATTTCGTAACTAAAAAGTTCTGTTATATGTACTTTTGGTACTCTAGCGGTTATATCACAAAGTAATCATTGAAAATGATGTCGTGCTAAAGAGCCTACAATATCGCCATTGTTGTAAAATATATATAATCATTTACGGGACTTTAAGTAGGGGACGTTGCTGATACCGTCTGTAGAAATAAATGATTTTTAATAATATTTTTCTAAATAATACCAAGTAATGACCTACAACAAAATTTGAACGAATTTATTTCTTAGAAGAGATCTTAATTACAATATCATTATTGTTTATTTAGACACTTTTTTGGTACGTATATCAATGAGAAATGTTAATAAGCTGTATGATAGAGATAGAATTCTTTACTAGCAAGGCGTTAGTTTTATATTAAACTATCCATGATACATCACTAATAATACATAGAGTGATGAAAAGCCAAATAAACAAAATCAGTAGACAAGATCTAGTTCAACAGAATTTGTAACCATTAAGCATATATATATTGTCACAGATAAACCAAAATCTCTATCCTAAAATCTTATCAATGGCCTCATTGATTGATTATAAAGAGCCGTACTCTTTATCATTAGGATTATAATATGAAAATAACGTAAGGGCTATGTCATTTTGTGCTGCTATTTTCCATATCCATAAGGAAACAATTTCAGCTTTAGGCTGAATACAAGATGACTAATATGTATAACATTTCATTCAATCTATACGATTAAAAAGCCATTTTTATCACCGTTTTATCCTTTTACCTGCTGTTACGTATGGACATTTACTTGCCTAGCTGTAGACTAAGAGCTTTAGTTCTGAAGTTTAGTTATTGTTAATCTTCAGATTCAAAAAAGCTATCCGCACCTCATGATTAATTTCCATTAATCATATTGTGATTGATATCCATGCAGTTTATTAACTGTTTTAAGTACCGATGCAAAAGTAGAAAATATAAATTTTTTACTTTTAATTTTTCTTTAATAAATAATTTTCCCATGGAGATTAACAACTAACTAATATCCTATGAATAGATTTTGTATTCTGGTGATGATTGATAGAAAATTAACAACTCATCATAATACTAAATCGGAGAATAGAAAATGGGATTATAATTATTCTACATTAGGTAGTAAAATATACCACACAATATATCGGGTTAAGAAAGTATCGAATAATATACCTCTACTAAATACGAATACGGCAATTTATAGAAATCATTTTGGAACGATGTGAAATCATTCTAAAGCAGCTATACCATATAATTTTAATGTGTATGTGCCATCACTGACAAATACATGTAATATACATTACATAAAATCTATAGGTATATTAGTTTTATACTGTATTTATGGAGTACATCTGCCTTGTCTCGCGGATTATCGTTACTGGTAGGGGAAAATAGCCTATTTCTATTACTAGTGACGCTATATAATACTTGCAAATTTATAAGAAATAATGGAAAAAAGATCGGAATTAAACAAAATTAAAATACTTCGTCAAGATTTATTAATTTAATATACGATTACAATATAATAAAAGAAAAAGCTCTCTATCTTTCATTTGCGCTCATTCACCTCAATATTACGGTAGTTCAATAAATATACTCGTATATAAACAATAAAGTAGTATTTCCAATCTGTATGCTGTCACGAATTTCTCTACTCAGATAGTTTAAATAAATAACAAATGGATTTTAGTAACATTGATCAACAAACTCTATTCGATACAGTACAACTAAATGACCTATATAAGTATAGTGGCAACACTAATTCTTTTTATTTTTTATAGATGTCATCAAATAGATTTTTATACCTTAATAAATATTAATATAATTAATATGGGAAGAAAATATAGTAATACTTTATTGAATAATTATATCGTCGATTTCTTCTTAGTTAATAGTCTTGAACTAACGTCGCTATGGAGCAGATCTTAATATACTGCAATAGATTAAATCGCAAAAAATTTATAATGAATACCAATTAGCAGTATATTTTTTTCTTTGTACGTGAAACTGAAATTTATTGACTATCTCGATTGTTAAGATGATTTGCGATGTAACTACGTAATATTATTCACGACCAACTGTAATTACCCTAAAAATCTTTCGTCACTATTATCATAGGACGTCCATGTTATTGCTAGAACTCTTCCGTTGTTAGTAACATATTGTCTAAGCAGTTTAGAAGCAAACTGTTCTACTAATATTGCAACAATCATAACTCAACTTTATCTTTTCTGATTCACGTTTCAGTTGATACCTGTTCCAATGGACGATTTCTTACTCCCACCATGTTCCGATGTCTCACAAGATATTTACGTTATTGGAGCTCAAGAATGTTGTGTTAATAGGTATGCTGAATTATGATTTATTTTTAGATTGTGACTTAGTATTTCTCTTGCTATTATCTCGGTAGTATAAAAATAACTGGAGACATCGTTTTGGTGTATCATACAATCAAATGATATCCATTCCCAGTAAATTATGGGGAATGTAAAGTTATGTTCGGGTATTTGCTATCATATATCACGATACGCATCATTACATACTCAAATGATTTGACAGGAAACAATTCTTGCTTGAAGATCAGTCCAATATAATAAAATGATAATTTGTAGCAATTGCTTTATTTATATCTAAAAGCCATGGCCGACCTTTAAGAACATCTCGTCGATATCGTTATGTCATATTTTTCCTTTTAAATGATAATATCGACTTTGGCATAACTAATACTTCAAGTATATCCACTATTTCACTGCCTTCCTTAGTGATTATTTAATCATCATTAGAACAAATACTCTATTATTTGAACAATTAAGAGGCGCTTCCACTATATTTTCCAGAATTTAATCCTAGACCGATTTTTCATCGCGGAACTAATGTAGTTTATGAAGATTTTAATACAATCTAATGTGCACCGGTAATGACTTGAGTGCTATAAATAATCAAAGATCTTTTATTAAGCCGGGAATTTGTCAAATTTTCTGTGATATAATTTATTTAAGCCTGATATTAAGAACAAGATAAGATATATGCTAGTTATAAAGTTTGCTAATTAAGAGTTCTGCCGCTTTTATCATAGCAGGACTATCAGAATAATGTCAAATACTGTACATACGATTTCAGATGAAGTGAAGTTTTGACCTAAATCTTTAAGTAATTAATAGCAGCGAGGAAAAAATTATTTCTCAATACAACGTTGGTTTTTTTTTCAATATTATATTATGACTATACTGTAGTTAGTTAATAAGAAGAAAAAGGAAAAAATTACGGCAGGAAATCATCTGCCACCTACGTATTTTTTCTATTTTCCTCAAATTTTTATTTTTCAAATCTGTTATCGTGTTTAGAATGATACGTATAGTGTTGCTAAGCAGTAGAAAATCTATGTATTAGAAAATAATGATATCCTTCCGGTAATTTTTACTCTCTATCAATAAATATATAATCAATTTTGAATTTTATGGAGACCGGCGATGTATAATTTCTTAAAAGCTGCCCTAGACGAAAGTCTCCTGTAGGCACACTCGATATTTACTTTAGTAATTTATATCAACTTATTACTATAAGTACAATTTAGGGAAAGAGAAACCGATATGAATATGATAGGAAATGTTCAATGTCTAAATAATGAACCAATTTTATTAATTCTGATTTCTTTCACTGATCTATTTTTACAGACGAGAATGGGAAATAAAGTTACAACAAACATTAGGGCCATCTTATGTTTTGAAACATTCCGCTATCTATGGTGTTCTGTATATGGCTATCTTTATTCGCCGTGATTTAATATGGTTCTGCTCTGGTAAAGTTACTATCATTTTATGTTATCGCGATGTAATATATACTATAATTACGGTCAAAAAATCGCGAATCTGTTTTCGTTATATTTGTGCTAGCTAGATGCTTTGCCAATTCTCAATTTTTAAACCTGATAGTGACTTCATTCTGTAATTTTCTTCTCTTTGATTTGTGTTAAGATTAATCATTTGTTATCTTATCAAAGTAATGTGATCCATTTTTGGCCATTGCAAATTTAAATGAGACTGTCAGGCATATATTACAGAAGCCATAGTGTTTTAGCCTAGATTAAAAATAACCTTAGATTCCATCCCATAGCTGTATTCATTTACTCCGTATGATAAATACCACTTAACTAAAATGCAGACTAAAATGTTATGAAATATTTGCACATCTGCAAAAATTGGATATACAATTATTACGCTAGTAATTAAAAGTCATCTTAATCTCCTACCCTAAATGAAAGTTTCAAACTGATCTATTTCCTCCAACTTGCAACAGACATTATTGAAGGCAGAGTATCAACAAGGCCTGGATCTATGATTAGAACGAAGGTAAAATTTTAACTCGATTCTTTAAAGTCGATCATTCATAAACATTTATCAATTTCGCTGCTTGTAAGGATGATTATCCAGATAAATTTTAGTTGATAATTCAAATTAATAGACATATAAAAATTCATTTTTCAGGGAGCACTGGCATTGGCTTTCGATTTATTTGATACCTCATTATTATTTATTACGTCACATTTAGCAGGTAAAACAGATTTAATTAATTTTTCAATTTAATCTCAACGAGTTTTACCATTTTAATTCAATGGATTAGCTGAGATCTTGTACGCCTAAATACGGATGGATAAAATATATATATACTTATTAACGATCAATATCGATCGAACACAAAATTCAATGACTAAACGTGTCTTAATTTTCTTTCCTATCTCAAATACTTGGCTAACCGACAGCTCATAATCATAAAGTTCGCGATAGAGTTAACGATTACGATAAAATCTGCAGACTATTAAATATGAAAAGTAACTTTACCGAATTTGTTCCAGACAAGGAAAGTCAAAATGGTAAGAAATCAAAAATTATTCGATTACTTTAACCCACCATGCCTTGCATTTCCTAGTTTCAGCAATAAGTAGCAATTAATAGAGAAGTTATTCAAATAGTAATTAGGAGGTAGATATAGTGCTCATTACCAAGATATATATTTCGTATCTGCTTTAATTTAACATATGTAGAAGTATGAATCGATAGTTTCGCCTCTAACGATTTTACTTTGAAAGTAGTCCTATAATTAATATTCCAATATGCTACGCACTACCATTCCTAGTTTTCCTATATTCAATAATTAACCATATTTATGCGGAAAAAGTCTTAGACGCTAAATAGGAAAAGATTATAATTAACTACCGTTAGAGATTTCGTTAAATACAGTAATACAAATCAGGAAAATGTTAGTCAAGTCGCTTTTATAGGTTTAATTAAAATATGTAGCAGATTTCGTTATACATGTATATGTTCATATATCATTCAGAATGGACATTTTGCAATTATGTGGTTAGCTGCTGATTGCTTGGCGGTCAAAAGCGAATTAGTAATTCTCTATCAAGTATTTTTTCTAAAGGCAGTTGATTAACTATACAATTGTTTCATAGATAGTTAGGCTAGAGTTTATTCTTTTCTCTAATAAATTATGAAATTCACATACCGTTTTAGAAAATATCGGAGGAATTGGTAGTGCTGAACAATTTGACCATGTTTTCTGGTTTGGAGATTTAAATTTTCGACTTGATGCATCACGCAGCACAATAGACAATATGTTATCAGCCTTAAAAGATCAAGAAGACCCACATTATGAGGTTTGCAAAATTAGGATATTTTGCTTTTAACAAGCGTACTTTACTTATAGAAGTAACACTACCGTTAACATTCTGCTTCATTGCAAGACTGTGCCACTATCATACATATTGCTTTCCTTTAAATCACTAAATAAAACCAAATGAAACAATATATTAGCTAATCCAAAACATTTAAATTAGGATATGTTAAAACTGGATCAGTTAGGACAATTAATGAAAGCAGGTAAGCTATAAATCTAAATTATTTCTAAGTCTATCGTTTGATTAAGATTGATTTACAATTTGTAATCAAGGTTATTAGTTTAAAACTAGCTTAAAATTTCTTACGAAGAGTATATATTAGTCACAATAACTATGCATTTTTACGCTTCCATAGCAGCATGTGATCATATGTTAACCTGATTCCTCTTCATGCTTAATGTATAATATACTGTAAATATGACTATAGCCGATCTTTATCACTTTCTAATACTTCTTCTAAATTATTGGCTATGGTAAACAGAAGAAATCTTTTGTGGCTATCAAGAAATGGATATCAACTTTCCTCCGACGTATAAGTATGATCTTAATTCTGAACGTTATGATACATCAAGTAAATCTAGAGTTCCATCATGGACCGTAAGTCTATTTAACAATCGTGAGAATTTTAAATTATTATCGTTTCATGATCTGCTCATTCCATTTGAAGACTGAAAAGGCACTGCTATATGTAAAAAGATTAATATTTGGCTTACTAATGTTACTTATATATCTATAAATATTAACTCTTACATCACTAGGATCGCATCTTATTTAAATCGAAAGAAGAGGAAGCATTGAAGATATTACATTATAATCACTGCAATGAAATTAAAATTTCTGATCACAGGTAATCTTATTGTATAATCTCATTTGAATATTTAATTTTAGAAGTAGATATACCATGTTAGTAACTACTCAAATAATAATAAAATGTGATAATATTTACTAATATTAAGTTATCACGATATAATCGTCCATCTAGGCCGGTATATGGATTATTTGTTGCAAAGTTGTCGACAAATAGCAATAAGTAAGCAATTTTTGATATCCTCTTAACATATAATTCAAAGTAATAGAAATAAATTAAAAATCTCTATTTCCGTTCTCATTCATTTTAATTTTATTAACTATTAGAAGAACAATCTGCTCCGGCAATTTCAATCAGAATATTTATCTTGAAGGTAATTAATGATAAAAGCTATCAGGAACAACAATTGTTACTGTAAAAATAATGAAGCGATAAATATAAAAATTTACAAACTCAGTCATAAATGTGTACCTACAATTTAAAACGAATTGACTCTTTACTGCCCCTTTCTACCATTCTAGGCAACAAAAGGAGGAGATCTAATCTACCTGAAGGTCGACAGCAAAGTGCAATATGCAGTATTTTATAATATAAGTTGGTATACAAATTGATAGGAAAGAATATCTTAATATTAAAATTTAAGATCGAAAATATACTAATTGAAGTTTTTAAAAATTAATTTCTTTATTCCGTTTCATAAATATTATCGATCATACTGGTAAAGTAAAATGTAGCGATTAATTTTATACGGTATCTCGTATTTCCGTGAGCTGTGCTTGTGTTGTACCTGTAAACTTCAGAAATATTTTCCGATATTGGAAAGTTTGCTAGTTCACATATTATCAAGACGTTATAATGTATCTCTGAACCCAGAAATGATGCGAAATATTTTTTAATATGGCAGATGCACTAACTCGTACAGTGTTTATTCTATCTTGTATATATTCCTTGTATATATACAAAGAATTGAGAGTTATCTTTCTTATAAAATAATCCGGATAAATATCCCCATAATTGTTAGTAATATTCCATTCATTATTATAGTGAAGTGCTATAAACCTAGTATTTTCATACTATATCGAAATGAAGAGAATGGAAATATAATTTCTAGCAGAAAGAGTATAAAATTTCTGTTTTAGAATTTTTAAAATGCTACTTGTTTAAATTATAAATACTTCCGTCAATGGGATGAATTATCGAATGATTTTTAGTTTCTCTTATATAAATATTTAATATAGAAATAATTTATTACAAAAATGTAAAGTATAGGTATAGCAGCTCTAGCTTGATTAATTTACGAGATAAAAAAACTACTACAACTTACTACTACTATGTGATCGCATGTGATCAAACAATGTTAAAATTTTCTTTTCGCTTAGTCTTTATTTGATCACACCAATCTTATGGATCGAATACAACGAACTTTCCTAAAATCATATTGCTATTTAATAGTTTTTATCTCCACAAGAAAAATGCTTTACTTCCTGTATTCGGAATCAAAGAAAATGTATATTGTAAAATTATAGAATTGCTACTTTGTATGATGGTAAAAAGATATGCATAACCATTCTGATAAATGCTTCGATGAAAATATAACTTGATCGCAATGAATGATGTATATTATTCTTTACACACGCTATCTTCAGAAATTGTTAACGATTTGTCTTCCTGCACTATCAATTCAATTTACCAGAACAAACCGGAAAAATTTTCGAAATTACTAATTTTTCTTGTAATTGCTATTTATAGCCGTTTCTATGAACATTATAAATTGACAAAGATGGTAATCATGCTGCAATTAATGTGTAAGACTAGCGAATGTATTGCTAACTGCCTTTAAAATTTGAGGTCAAAATATTTCTGCCTTTAATTTAACAATACGCAATAAAATGATTTCTTCGATGTAGCATTATAAGAGTATTAATCCATGCCCCAAATTTATATATCAACGTATAATCTTAAATATTTAATTAGTGATGTAAGCCAGATCGGTAATTATTCTTGCAATTAAGCTATTAGCAATAACTGAGAGGTGCTTAACATGTGCAGGTTAATAATTTTAAAAGATTCGACAAGTTCATTTTAACGTAGAATTTGATATTCTGCTTCAAAAGGCATTTCTATATCCAGTTAACTTAACAGTTATCGATAGACAAAAACTATAGGCAAAAGTACACTCTATAACTTACATTGCTAGCATATTAATAAGCAGGGTATATCGCATAGAATTATGATAAGCTAGAATATTTCATAATTATCAAATAGAGTAATTACGAATTATAATTAACTAACAATCTAAAAGAATATTAATGCTACGATCTTATTACGAATTAGTAAAACTCAAACTTAAAAAGATCTACAAAGAGTAGCTTTATCACGGTATGTTTATCATACTGAAATGTAAAACTATGACTTCTTCGCAATGCCAGGATTCTAAATTTTTTCTAATGTTAAGAACATAATCTGTAGAGTCTATCCAAAATCATCCTACGTCAGGCATTACAAAACCATGATTGTTGGTTGTTCTTTTACTTTAGAACTATTATGATCTTGCATTTTTTCCTCTAATAAGGTCTGCCACTTTCTCACCAATCATCATACAAGCCGCGTTAGTATTGCCGGAAACAATGCAGGGCATAATGGATGCGTCTGCTACACGGATCCCATCTAAACCGTGGATTCTAATTTTAAAAATAATAAAATTAATGCAATCAATGCAATTTTCATATTCTAAAATGCTGTGTGCAGTATTATTTTAAGATCATTTTACATAATAATATTGCCAGTGCAACTAAAATTATAGGTGATACATATACGATACACGTATATACCTTAGATCTGAATCAACCACAGTTGTAGGATCGTCAACAGCACCCATCTTACACGTACCAACCTAATAGTATATTAATACGTTTAAGAGAGTAAAGGAAGCTATTTTTTTAATTAAGTATACAGCGGCAGGGCTATTTACGCTTAATAGATTAAGTTGTAGAATTTTGCCTTATATCATGGAAAGCTAACGTACCGGGTGAAAGCAGTCCATGCCATATACTCTTATAACATCTTTCCAGTATTCAATGCTGTTATACTCATGTGATGAATCAATTTTATAACGCAAAACTTCTTTAATATACGAACAAAGTGGCTCTGTCTCCAACAGCTTAATGGCATATTGCACTATCTAAAGATCAAATAGGAAGAAGTTAAGATCTATATATAAGGGATATTTGTTTTCATAGTATCGTTTGCGATTAGACAAATTAAATAATTATATCGTGATTCATAAAGTAAACATTTGCCATATAATTGACTATAAATTTCTTTAGCATTTAATAACCTTAGCCATGGCTGTTAAGTCATCAGGGTCATCATAATATTTAGGATCAATATCAGGATACTCTGCTGGATCAGTACTTCTCAGTTTTACCGTTCCTCTACTTTTAGGATGTAGCAGTACGGGTACTAGAGTGAATCCTAAGTCGAATATTGTATTTTTAGTGATTGGCATATTACACATCTAAGTAATAGGAAACTTACAATACCTGCAATTAAACATCAGTACGTGTATTTATATATTTAAATACCTATATTATATATACATATCTATAAAACAAATACGTCGCGCGGAAATGTTCCAATGAGGCTAGCTACCATTTCAATTTACTTATTTGTGATTATTATTTCTTACCTTCTTGATCTTGAGCCATAGAATTGCCTATGAATAACGGGAAATGCCTAAGACAATATGAATATGATTATATTTTAGGACATTTAATGCGTTTCTTTCAATCATTTTAAAAATAAAAACTATTGCCAATGCCAAAATAATTTAAGTCCTAAAGGCTCTGCAAAGATGTTAATTAGTGTTCTCAGTATTCTCTTCATTGAACACTTTAATAACTAGCGCTATTTTCAATCTTCATCGTTGTGTCAGAATAAAAACTTTGAGCAATCTTACTTTTCTTTATTATAGCCTAAGTTTTCGTAGTAAAATTTATCGCTCAGTACACCATAGCCAAACAAATGGATCTGAGTATCGGGCCATGGTAGTGCATCCTAAAATAACAAAGCAGTTTAACTATAAATGCTATCAGCATGTAACAGCTATTCGGCTAAAATTTATTTTTAAAGCGCCTCTAGATATATAGATGGAATACAGATGTTATTACTTAATATCAGTATCTTGAGAAACTATACTCGACATCTGTTTAATTGTAAATGATGATTAAATAATATTTATAACTTAATTAATTAATTGTAGCAAAGTCTTTGCTATGACCTTTGCATGCGTAGAATCCTAATAGAAGTCGCTTACAGTAAAAATATAATTAGGGAGAGTGAAGAAGAAATGATCCCACATTTAAGTTAGCTATAAATTTACATTTTATGACACTATAGTTAAAATTAGGGAAACTAACAAAAAAATGGATTTGGAAATAAGTTAAAAGAAGTTCGCAATATACAAAATTCCTAAATACTATTTATAAATGGATATAACTGATAAAAGAATTTGTTACGGTGATATTTAGTACATTTATTGTAGCATTTCATTTCGATTTCATGCTTATTCTATCATTGTATGATATAATATGGTTAGAATATAACTTAAGACGTAGCATTTCCTTACACTGTCATCAACAGCATTAACAAATCCGCTAGCAAGGTATCCGCTTGAAGCTATTACACCCTGTAAAAAATCAATTCGTAATTATGTATTATTTTATATTCTAGAACTGTAAGATTGCATCCAAAATTGGGTTATTCTAATCCGATAGACGATTATATTACGACTTCTGACCTTGCCTTTAAAAAGGTATTTCAGAATAGATGACAGTTTAGTAGCAGACTTTAAATTTAAAGTAGAGTTTTGCAAGTCTTTGGTTAAAGAACTAATGGAGATTGCGTTGTGATCCTGAAATATAGATATGTAAAGTACAGAATTAAACGATTATCATCATAATGGCAGTAGGCTACTTTTCAACATCATATAAACCTATCTTCCGTGTCATTAACTATAACAAAATCATACCTGCATATTCCTTCCAACCGGTAAATTAGCAACCACCGGAATCTATAATATAGCATTTTAAATTTCAAATTTTACTATAATTAGGAGTACATATACTTCTATAGTGAGATTCTCTATTTATAAGTATTTGAATAGATTAGTATTGCTATTTGAGGGTAAAGATTTAAATTCTACCTCTAGTTTTTCTAAATCCTCCTTAGGTCCTACTCCTGATAGTAGAAGGATTTGTGGTGAGCCAATAACACCTCCACATACTATTACCTCGCTATTGCATGATATTGTTATAATTTTGTCGCTATTTTAAAAAAATAATTATTTCACGTATTGAAAAACAGATTGAATAAAAGAAGTATCTTCTATAAGGTAATTTAGTTCGTTGAAAATAACAATATTAGTAAAATAGAAACGGATAGGTTACAATGTATCTCTATGGGAACACGTTACTTCGTACTGTAGTAACATAATCTGTAGCGATGCATAGTAATCTGTTGGTCCTTATTAGCAATTATTGTTCAAGTACTACTGCAGAGGCATATAATCAACATAGGATAAAGCTAAAAGTCCCAGGATAATCATTTTGTAGCACGTACTAAACACGAACTAATAACAAGTTATGCGATTAGTTTTATCTTATAGTATTACTATAATATGAGGAAATTTTTGATTCTGTATACAGTAAAAGCCGAGATGTAAGTTTACAAAGTATCATACTGTATTTCTGGAAAGACCATGTACATTTCTTTCGTTGTCAACATTGGTAGATTAGTACTTACTTTTTTGAAAATTCAACGCCTACGGCTTTGTTCTCCTTAAACACAACCTATGAGTGGAAGGCAATGGGTAAAATTTTAGCGACATCGATTAATGCCACTGCAGCAAAAAAAGAGCAAATTCAGAGGGGAAAAAAGTATCGTGGTCCACCCCGAAAGATTCAACCATAGTAGCAAATGGAAATTTTCTTGAAAAATAGCATTTCAAGAATGGATTACCTTTCTGACGAGACAATTAACGCCAATAGCCAAATTTCTACGCCTCAGAACCTTAGATGTCAAGTAAGATGCAGCTGTGCTTTGTCGCTGTCCATTTTTAATTACTAATTGGCCTAAATCAAATCCATTCTAAAATGATAGTATTACATGAGAAATTTGCCAGGTAAATAACCTTTCGTTTACATTTATAACGGTTACATTAGAAGAATACAATAATCTGCGATTAAAGGAATATCGATAGTAAATATGCCAATACTGTACTGATACACACTTATGATTTTGCATCGACTCCAAAGCTATAATTTCATAATTTTAATTTACTGACAGCTTACTAAACTCCTCAACTGGATTAAACTTTATTACGACAGATTAAGTACTAGTTTACTACGGTACATTACATTTCAATAATCAAGATATCTCAAGTTTAATATTGCAATGTGCACGACAGCGTAACTTAATTTCATGCATGGAAGTTTGCATGCTCAACAAAGCTTGAATATACAAGAGCTCTATACTTAAATTTATTTGAAGTAGCCCTAGAGCCCTTTAATTAGTTAAACTTTAGAGCCTTCGCAACTATTAGCCATACTCGAATAACTGAACTGCAATATTGCACTACTGCGTTACTGAACAAAAATATGTAAGAAAATACTAGCAATTTAAACATAATCATACACTGTACTAATGACTTATTGTAATGGTCAGCTATAGTTCGTACGAAGAAATTTATCTAATGATCCATTGCCGTTGTGATAAGTAATTTTCTCATGCTATCTCTTTTTTTTGGCAGAGGTAAGTATTTATTGGATAGTTGAATGGCTTAAATAACAAGTCAATCAGACAAAACTACATATCTGCTATAAAAAATACCGTACACTGTCATTTCTACTTCTATTCTATCAAATGCAAGCCTGACAGAAGGATCTCAAGTGCCCTTAACATATTACTTGTTGATATATGCTGTATGGAAATCATAGCATAACTACAGTAGTACTACATCGTAGGATCCAAATATAAAAATGTAATTTTAAGTAATGTCCTACTAAAGTTGTTCAAATTCTAAATAAAGATTTAAGCTGAAAGTATCTTATTCTGTAAGATAAAAATTAATTTTTAGCCCTTGTCAAGCATACTACGTACTAGTCAGAAATGTATTGAATCACTGTCAGCATAACTATAGCACGTACAAGGAGTTCTTATCCGTAACCAAATTACAGTATATTTACCTTGACTCCACTGTTAATATCACATTCTTTATTTCCCAACTTCACGCCTAAAATGAATACGTTAATACGACTCGTAGTTAACGACAGTATATTAGATATGATTATACAACTGTGCTATGATAACAATAATATCTATCCAATCACTCTATTATAACGAATCGTAATACATAATCGAGCATTGTAATTAAAGTAATTACCTGCTTTAACAAAAGCATCAGTTACTGGAGTAGTAAATGATGGGTCAGTCACAGTTACTGGACCTCCTACCCCGTGGGCAGGATCTTTTCGAAATTCTGGCCTAAATAAGGTATATTGTTATCGATTAAAATCCTTTTTAATCAATGACGAAGGCTGTTATCAGACAATTTTTTCTTGTTATCTATGGCATTCAAATGTACAAACGCTATCGTGATATTATTTGCGGTAGCTTTTATGAAAGTAGTTATGAAATAAAAAGTAATACTATGCTGACTAGTTTTACATTGATATTCGAACTAATTAGTTAGTAAGTATTTTCCAGATCAGCCAGTTATTTTATCATGTCATATGAATTATTAGTTTATGATCTTCAATTAATTTTTTCTAACTACATCGTTTCTCATTGCTATTCTTCAATGTATCAAGATGTAATAGTGCTTACCTGATGTTATTTTCGGATTTAATGAAGTATGGCAGTACACTTTCGAAATTCCAGCCTTGCGCACCTAGGCAGGAATGCATTTAAATAGTTAACATTGCCGTCAATAATTGCTAAATTTAGGCCCATGTTTTAAAAGTATCATAATAATACAGATATATCTGCTAAGGGGAAGTCATCTAATACTAGGCCTTACGGTTAAATTTACTATACATAATAAGACGATTATCGCGATTCTAAAAAACTTCAGGGCATATAATTATAATAGTTAATCTGTTACTATTGCAAATGATGTAGTAAACATGGGAATCAATAATGTAATTTCAAGATCTAAGTCTACATTTTCAGTTTAAGTAAGGCTTGTGAGCATATTTTAATTTCATTTACCCATCTCTTGCCAAGTATCATAATCTCCCTTGCACCCACGTATATAGACCATAAAATTAATAGAGCTACATCCTCCAAGCACCTTAGTATAAAACGTTATAATAGAGTTAGTGTACGGCTATCAGTATTTAAACAAGATTTCACACATACGGGTATGCCTGAATACTGTATACATTCTGCGTACTACTGCGATAATAATACTACTTAATCGCAAAAACTACAAAGGATACAAGTTTAAAGATAGAATATGATAATTACTCTTCCTCTTGGAATGGTAGCGACCTGTCCACACGCTAATCGCGAATTCGATTGCTCAACCGACTATAAATTTAATTGACATAATTGAATAAATAAGGTGATAAACTTTATGGTTAATTTCTATCATCAGCTACATCAAAATCATCAACTTATGCTGTTATTATCAATTGTTTTTAAACAATTTGTTTAATACGAGTATCGATACTCAATATGGGAGAAAAAAATTCGAAAGACGGATACTGCAATACTGAATCTAATAAGAAAAACCTTATAGCTCCAATCGAAATTGGGGTCATTATGCAAATCAATTGTTTTTGCAGGAACTTTTAAAGCACTTTTCTTCTCATGGCTAGGACCGGCTTCCAATAATAAAACAGTAGTTTTAAGATCTTCACTCAAGCGATTGGCGATAACGCAACCAGCAGAGCCACCGCCAATGACTATATAGTCATAAGCTGGCAAGAAATTATCGGTGATAGCACTTCGTTTGGTGAAATATGAATAAGACATACTTGTACTTCAAGGGACACTATCACTGTTGAGAAAGAAGACTTTTGATTTTAGATTTTAGTAACTTGAATAGTTGAATAAAAAATCATTTACGATAATCGCTGAATCAATCTATTACGTAAAAATACATCTACTACGGGTTGTATAATCTTTAACTTATAGCTCATTCACGATTTGGTTTGGTGAATTAAACTAGAATTAAATTTTAATTTGTAATACAAGTATGAGTATAACGGAATAAGATAATTTAATTATTATACTAGAACTACTTATCATGACAATATTTACCTACCGGCTAAAGGAACTCTTTAAAATGTTGATATTTCTACGGTTATCTTCAAGCTTTCCTAACAGATAGGATCAAAATTTAGATTTCTACTTAAGTAATCAATCGTGCCTGGTTCCAGAGAAAAATTCTATCCCAGGTTGATTATTTAGTCTGCATATATTATAGACCGGTCCGTTAATGGTTTCAAGCCCAAAATCTTAAACTTTCTCACGGAAAGTCAAATAATTAATCAACAATATTGGTCGTAACACCTACCGAATTTACGATAATATCTCATTATTCAAGTTATTATCATAACAATCGATTGTTTCTTTAGTTGAAGCCTAAGAACTGACGTAAATCCAAGGTAGTTATTGTATTGAAATATGGGCATTAAATGTAAACAGCAGCTATAATTATTCATCTAGAAACTACCTAATCACCCCGATTATAGGTCATCATGATGGTGTCATAATAATCAGTTTAGATTTTTGTGCTGCACCTCACTGGAACGGGCTACGAGCAGAAATAGATGTGCATTGGACGTATCATGGTCGTAAGAGTAGCTTTTTTATTGGGCAACAGCTAGGCCTCAGACACTAAATTTGGGCTAAAATATTTAATAGGGCTTAGTTTTTCTTTAAATGTAGTAGACTGCTATATACTAGACACCTGTAGATATAACTATGTTAAACTGTATCAAGCATTACCGATCTTGCAGCAAGCAAACAACTACCATTCAACTAGAATTGCCTATAATCCCAGTCACGATGTTATGATACTTTTCCACCATTTCACAGTGTGATGTCGGTGGGCAAAGCCAAGGACAATTGAAAACGTAAAGAGTTCTTTACAAAATGATAGAGGCCTCAAGTAGAGCACGATATGGCAGTCTACGTCAAATAGTGTATTGTATTATATAATAGGCGAAAATTACGTAATAATATAGACCGTGATCGTGCATTAAATTGTCCGTAATATGTATGTTATATCATTCAGTAGAATGCGATATTGTACCGCACTGTACTGTAAGGTCCTTTGTTGGGTACCCGAGTTGCTATACTATATAATATTTGGGAAAAATTCGACGTATATTGCCTGTAAGCTAATGTGTATGAGATATGTAAATAGGCAATACCATGTTAGCAGACATAACACCAAAATGAAGGATCAACAAACTAAATTAGTCGCTGTATTAAGCTCTCATGCTAGACTTCTGTCTCGTTATATTTGTATTTACTGTTAACATCAGATGTCTATCTTGACCTTTAGTTCGATATATGCGTAGAAGAGTAACTTATAGTTATTGTTAAATCAATAAAAATGATTCTGTATTATATGTCGTACTTCATGGCGCCAAAAGTGCTATCATCGATATGAAAATGGATGTTTGCGAATGCATTATCGAAATGTTACTTTAAACAAGAAAAAGAGCCAATTTACCTGATAGGTCGCTATGGCTCGTAAATTTATATCAATATGGCAATATGTTATATTTACTTAATAGTATGGAATGTTAGCCTGTTTGTCTGCTGAACTCTCTATCTAATGTTTAAAGTGTCTCTATACAAAATGAATTCATTTGCAACTTTAATTCAATACCGTAATTGAAATTTATATTAAGATTACTAAGATAGCTATTTTTAATACAACATAATCTGCATGAGTCTCAAACTCGGTTCAACGAAGGATGCAATACTGTAGGCCAATATGAATACTCGAGATAGCACTATAAACCAATAATTGTCACGTCAAAATTTGGTTATAAATTATTTCTATGAATCTTCCAATTTTCCTTTGATTGAAAGTACTAAGAAATAAGTAACAGTTAATGAGCTAATGTTTTTTATCATTCGCAAATTTTAGCTGTCTTTAAGATTATAGCTCATGTCTTATGAAGACAGCAAGCACAATCGATTGAAACGGTAGTACTTGCATGATTATGGTATATTCGTGCATAAGACTAATGAAACAACCGTTATCGCCGATTGATAGTTGTGCAAGTAATAGCGCTAATAGCTATCAGCATTCATTTAACAGTTCTAGCCGATCTTTAAATACAATTATTCAAAATTAGTATTTTAACGAAGAAATAAATAGCACTCTTCCAAGTTGTCAAATAATTCAATTTGGCATAAAGGTAGTGCGTAGTGCTATTCATTACAATAAATTATACGGTAGCTTTTACATAAATTCACTACTATACCAGAAGATTAGACTTTTCGAGAAAATTTGCAATTGCTTTGGATTGTAACGGAAATTAAATTTCATGTCTGAGAATTCATAAGATTTTCATATAAACATTGTTAGCGAATAAATTATCAGCACACATACACTAAAGTTTGGTATTTAAAAAAATTCTCAATTAATAGCGGAATGTGCTAAAGATATCCCTAATTTTCATTTCGCAGTTAAACTGGTAAGCCAGCAACTGCGTAACGTAAAGCTATCCTATTCGATTGAAAAATTTCATTACAAGTTAATCATAATCTTTTCATACTTGTTCTCCACAAATAATGTAATGCCATAGGACAATCACCATTGGTGAATGATCATAATAGTTTACAAGACTGCAAATATATCACGAAATAACATTGTATTTTTATAATATACGTAGATTATAAATATTTAAGAAATAAGAGTTCTTATACCTGATACACTGTATCAGATACCTTATTTCAGTTTTAGTTTATAATTTAACAAAAATTATGAGAAATCTTTACATATATTGTGATATCAAAGTAATTATAAGCTAGAGATCTATGTATAAAATTAATTATTTCAATTTAAGATATCTACAGGTAGTGAACTCAAAATATTTAAAGTTGAGTTATACTAACACTATGAGCCGTCCTCTGTACAACCTTCATTATCTGACTTCTTCCAAAATATTATATCACCAAAAGCTGAAGCAGTTAACAGATACGGTTCTCTTGGGTGGAATGCTAAGGAATAAATAATATCTCGTTTCGATAGATTGGCATTTAATTTTGTCACTACAGAGCCCTACATTATTTTGTAGAAAAAGAGCGTAACATATACATCAATTAATAGCGACTTTAGGAATATTAATTTAATAGCAAATAATAAGAATGTATACTATCTATCTTTTCAATGCTCGTTAATAACAATACCCGTTTACCTCTACTAAATCCCATATAAAAATATACCCGTCTTCGGATCCACTGACCACATGTGCATCGGTATGAGTAAAGCAACTATCAATTTTGTAATCTGAATTCTTATGACCGGTAAATCTTCATGACATTATATAATTTGAAAATCAGAAGGTGTTATTAACAAATGATAACTATTTGCAATATGTTAAACAATAGATACTGATTTACATCATACTGTACATATGGAAAAAATCGCAGCCTACTAGTATTTAAAATGCAATCCCTGTCAATTCGTCCTTACTAATCAGTACTTACTCATTTAAAAGCTGACCAGAATCTTTATCTAGTAAACGTAAAGTATTATCTAGGCAAGAAGTCAGGATACATTGGCCATCCTTTGAATAGCTTACACTGGTTACAGGAGCTAAAAGATCCCATAGCGCGATGTTATGATTATTCACAATATTATTCCTTTAGTTTTGCACTCATTACATCTTATATGATTATAGGTACCATTACAGATCATGTTGTCATATTCGTAAACAAATTGTCGTAATATATTAGTTCACTACATTAGCTTACGTCCAATGTAATCTTCATTCATTTTTCCAGCTCGTAAGTCATACAAACGTACTTTGCCATCTATGCAGCTAAAGATCAGAAGAACTTTGTGAAAATAAAGTATAAATGCAACCTAATAATAATTAGATGTGTAATCAGCTCAAATCTTTCTACCCAGATATAATCTCATGGTTGGAAACTTTAACGCTCGAAATACTATCAGAAGCTTCGTCCAAGACTTGAATAGGATCATAGCGCCTCGATCTAAATTAATAATTATAATACTTAAATAGTGTCATTGTACCTAGGGTAAATGTTCAGACAGTAGAAAGATATAAACCATAAATACCGATTAAAAATCGACTCAGTATTATTATCACAGTCTGTGAAATTATTCCTATTTGTCAAACCTGGTATCCCATGTCCTGATGGTAGCATCATACGATCCTAGAAATTAAATCATTGAATGGGAACTCATTAGTGGTACCTCTCATCATATTCATAGTCTACCCAATTCTTGATTAATTATTGAAGAAATGAAAATTTGTTATACACAAACCTGTCACAATTACCGTACACTCATCATTGAAAGCAATGGAATTAATAGCCTACAAACAATCACGACGGTCACATGTTACCACAAACATTTAACTGTCATATTTAGCATGACTGATCAAAATAATCTAATTCTACGAATACAAACATCTATACGCTTATAGACATCAACTACTTTACAAGTTAATAATTGGTAGCAAATATTTTATCCTTAGACTTACAAAATAATTACTAAAAAAGTATTTGCATATCACAATTAAATACTTTGATACTGTTAGGTATCAACCATATTGATAAAGTATGAATTTTAAATATCTATCCAAGTTATCCCGCGCCTTCATAGTGCACATGCCGTAGAACGTAACCTACCCCAGAGTGTCCTCTAAATTTTCGAATAATTTGACCAGTACCGACATCCCAAAGAATGATCATCTTATCGGTTCCTCCAGAAGCAAGTCTGCTATTGTCTAAGGTTCTAGTACCAGTAAAAGTACAACATTCAGCTTTATATCGGATCAGATATTATCGCTTTGATTTATACACAAACGGACCTATACAGTATACTACAGTACAATCTAGTAGTCTATATCATCAATGATGATAGGCGTTACATTTAAGTTAATAATGAGGCTTTAGCTTAGCAACTTACGCTGCAATATCTAATACTTCTTGACCGTGCCCTTTATAGGTTTTGATAGATAGTGCAGAGTGAGGATTCCATAGTTTAATGATTTTGTCACTTCCACAGCTCAAGCAGTAATTACCATTGTCTGAAGAGGAGATTGTTATTAGACAAATTGACCAGCATTATTGACGAGTAATTTATCAATCAACTCGTATTCAGACAGAGGGTTATTCGCTCATTAAATACTAGCTAAACCTGCACACCATGGTTTGCGAATGAGATTTCTTCTTATTCTAATATAAATTATCCATGATCTACTCGACACACAATGATTTCAGCTTGTGATACTTTGCTATAAACTATTTGTTTATCCAGTATTGAGCTGGTAAATTGTCCATTAGACTTACTGTTAAATCGAACTGCTCGTACAGGACCTTGATGGCCACGGAGGGTGCTTGAAGGTGTATCAGGAAGCTGAGCTGCTACAGCAGCCATTGCATGAACTGTCGCCATGGCTTCCAGCAAATTGTAAATGATTAGCCAGCCTATACTTACAGTACTGTAACTTGTAGGGTACAGTGTACAGTACATAAAACGCGTTACTGCACTCATCGTGACGTACTGTACAGTACAGTACTGTAGTCTGTACGTCTGTACCATACCAAATTAGCGAACGGGGATGGACAGTATTGCAGCCACCTGTCCAAGTGTCCATTAAACTTCAAACCTTAAATTAAATTAAATGGCCTGATATAAACGTTAGGCTTGGTTTTTCGTGAAAAACCAATAAACCTCATTTAAAACAGTCTATTAAAAACGCAGATACCGATACAGTAAAGCTCAAGTTGAATAGTTTCAGCAAAGAAGAATTTTTAAGAGTGCAGACCATATTACCCGTACATCTACAAGGCGTGGATGATTGTACAGTAGACATTCCTTATTTAATACGGGTATACGCGTATGGTCGATTAAATAAATAATAATATTTGAATTGTACAAAATTGTCAACAATATACAGAATACTGTCTACAGAATTAAAATTTATAAGTCGGTCTGATGTGCAGATCTCTGGTATATAGTTTGTTTATATTGTTAATGAATGGTTACAAACTAAAATCTGTACAAAAGTAAATACTGCCTAGAAATTTTGCTATAGACAGTAGAATACATGTATACATATTTGTCGTGCAAAATATATCTAGTAAATACGTATTAACCTGAAAATTTTGTACCAATAGTAGGATATGTATCGTGTAAATAAATTGTTGCAATAGTCTTACACGATCGCATAAATTATAAATATCTCAAATCAGTACTACTTTATGAACATTTGCAGTAACTAGTATGGTATTAGCAAAAGCCATTACCGGTATAAAATGTGAAAATTACAGCATTACCTTCTTTGGCTGTAACACAGCCACTCATCATATGGATTAGAAACTGGAAACGAATGACTTCATGTCATTTCTTAAGTTTGATTTCTAGATTAAACAGTAATTGTACTGATAAAATGAAATGGATTAACTAACGAGATGTTTTACAAAGGCGCTAGAGCTTTTAAGGCAGATTCTTTTAAAGTTTTAATAAGACCCTCAAGAAAGCAACTCACCTGAGGGAGCTCTATCAATATTGAAGTGAATTTATATTCCAACAAACATTGTTAGTCCTATTACTTCCGATCAAGTAAGTTGGTAGTCTATTACCATGCTATAATGCAACGTGAACGTTTTAAGAGAAATGCTAGTATATCTGGCATGCGAACTTATCAACTTGGAAAGTATTATAAACTACGCAACGCTATATTTATTAGATTGTACGTTTAATACGATGCAGAACTATATATAGCATTAATACATTTCGATTGCTATCGTTTGTTTGCGTTAATTCGATATTACCTAAATTTAGCACGCTACAAACTTACTATTGTCACAGGTTACATAATAATAATCGTGATTGATTATTTATAGTATTCTACACATGTGATATTCTACACTTGTTAATTCTACCGGTTAATTGTACTGTAGATTGTGCTGCGTACACTAATGAATCTACTGCTACACAAACTTGCAATTAAATTGTGTTATAAGTGTGAACGGCACACATATAAGCCGCCGTTCTTCAATACAATAAAGAGAGAGTAGGAGTTAGTAGTTAGTTTTACAATAACTTCAACTACGTGTTCAATTTCTTGTCTCCATACTAATCGAGAATATTACGAATCTTCAACACGGTTGTTACTATTAACTCTAGATAGCAATACACAACAGAAAGTGAATTAGTGTCCGCTAATGAGATCGCAGTAAACGAAGGATACGCACATTTCAAATGTTTACAATACATAGGTGATTGGGAACGAACTTAGCAGCATCTTGATGTAATTCCTCTACGTACGAACGTATATCCCAGAATCGACCTCCGTAGTGAATAATACGAGGTCTTAGCTCTTTAGTAAGCAATATATACTACGGCATGTAATGAAATACGTGTGTTATGTATCGGTTATAGGCTATGAAATAATGATATTATGAATAAATCAGCAACGCCACAGCAGAACGCCATAAACGATCTTCATGCACGTATATAGGTACAGGTATAAAACTTACTAATCTAATTTGCATACATCTTCCAAGGCTTCAGGCTTTTGTGTGCTAATGAGTTTAAATACATAGACCATAAAATTAAAATTTATAAGCTTCATCACTGCTGCAGCTATTTATTCTCTTAAATTCTGACCAGTAGTTATTTCATGATATACCATACGTGTAATTGTTACATATTGGAAATCACAATATTCTACTTTAGTAATATTTCAATGGTTAATTTAATATCTTTTCAATCAATACTCAAGACTCACACGCCCCTTCGCTATTAAGCTAATTAATAATTTTATTTTAAGTATTTTGTATACTGTCATTGGACGTGTACCTAAATGTAAAATTTCGGACTTAGCAGTTTGTAGCGAGTAAATAACTGCTACATAGCAATATCATTGCCAAAAAAACCTATTTTACAACCGTAGCAGTATAAAATCTTATATAAATCGTACCGTGCCGTATTATGTAAATGAGTAACTTCTTGCATCATATGAAATTCCTATTATTAGATCACTCATAGCTAAATATTTTTCTACTCGTAGTACTTCACTTCTCCAGCTGTAATGCATTTCCAATAGTAAAATCAATTAAAACACTAAAGGATTTCATTTATTTACTTTGTACAGGATGTGTTAATAAATACAGTTATTTGCGCAAACTCATGCAGTAATAATTACATAAGCAGAGATTGCATACCGCGCCTAATAGACATACGCCCCGGCAAGTACAGTATAGTAGCAATCTTCAGCCTGCGAGAAGTTTGGTGTCTAGGATTGCATACATTACTTTGACATTATTTGCATAACTGTATTCTAAACTGCTCTAATCATGCTACCTCGTAAGATACGTTATACTTCTCCTCTAAAGGTCTAATAATGGTATACGACTCTCGCTTAGAATTTGCTGTTAAATTGGGCGGTGGAATTTTGGTTTCTTACTTGGCATATAAATTATTATTACGCCACCGTAGGCATGATCCTTTTTGTGATCAATTTCTCGCAAGTTACGATTACATTATTATAGGGGGCGGAACAGCCGGTTGTATACTTGCTAATCGATTGACTGAAGATCCTAATGTAACCGTTTTATTACTGGAAGCTGGAGGAAAATATGATCACTTTCTAGCGAAAGTGCCTGCTGCATCCCCTCTTCTGCAAGCAGATTCTGCAATTAATTGGTGCTACAAGGTATACGAATATATCACCTATTTATCCACAGACTAAGTAAAAGTTATAGCGTAGCGTTCATTACCAAAATAGTTACTCTAGTCGCAGATATTTCTTGTACACAAAACGTATGTGTAAACAGTGTTACAAACATTTTTCATAACAGCTACGATATTTAACGTTACTAACTGCTAGTATATAGGATATAAAAATCATTTCGGTTCTAATATTAGACCAATAATTATTGATTAATCATCTCATTATCTATTTAGTCATTGCCCCAGCAAAATTCATGTCTAGCTTGTACCGATAATATGCTTTTATGGCCTCGAGGAAAGGTAATTTATAGGCAATCCCGATTACGAGCATTCTTATTTCAAACTTACAAACCAAGCTTTTCAATTCCTTTAAACAGATTTTGGGAGGAAGTAGTTCAATTAATTCCTTAATTTATATGAGAGGCTGCAAGGCAGATTATGATCTGTGGCAGCAGATAGGTAGAGTTTAAATTAAATTATTAAAGTGACATGGTTTGTTATATCTGCTATATTATCACTTTAAATTTAATCTTAAAATTTTCCTCTTCGAGTTGTAACTTTTGAGTCAATGGCGATGTTGGCATTCTAAATTCTGCCAAATATTAACATAAATTACTTGTTGCAGGTGCTGAAGGATGGAGTTACGACGATGTCCTACCATATTTTAAGAAATTTGAAAATAACACAAGGTATTTAACTTAGCTCTGAAACTACTTAAAACCGATGATTACAATATGAAGAAGGGGTTAAATTGAAATTTTGTTACTGTAATATGTAACCTAAGACCTGAATTTCAAAACGATTCACAACACGGGATTGGAGGGCCAATTACAATCAGTGATCCTGATATTACTGCACCTTATACAGAGGCATTTATTAAAGCAGGTATGTATATTACTTAGTTAGTATTTTTATATCGAATACATGCTATGGTATTCCATGGAATGATCTTGAAATATCATTCTTCTGAGATTATACTATCTTGCCGATAATCCACGATAGGTGAAGAAGCAGGATTTCCTAGGTGTGATATCAATGGCGGTATCAAGGTTTGATAAACAATTTATATCAAGCTTTAGCTATTGGATAGGGACTTCATTTATCAAAATGACGATGGTTTAGTGACTGCTTTACTTATAGTCTTGTCTTATCTTACTTCGTATTTTTTATTTTTAATAACAAAATATAATATAGACTGGATTTGATTATGGTCAAGTATTTGTTGGCAATGGAGTAAGACAAAGCACTGCTGAATCTTATTTGACTCAGGACGTAATGAACAGAAAAAATCTCCACATCGGTGTATTTTGTCACGTCAGCAAGGTGATTAATATCTGAACTAGTTTAGATTGCATAAATGCAATAGTACATGACATCGCATTGCTATGGCATCGAAACGATAGCAATATTTATCTGTAGCCTTATCTAAAGCCTACCAAGGTCATTATCCTCAGAGTAAAATATTAGCAGTAAAGGTTTACTGATTCGAAAATACAAATTTCGAAATGAATACTTCTAAATCTTACAAACTATGCTCATGTTAAAATTTTAATAATCGGAATAAATTTTATATTAACTTCAAAAGGTGATTTTCAATGAGAAGCGAGCTGCTGGAGTTCAATTTATTAAACAGTAAAATCATAATAATTTAGCATTTTTGCTATCACATACAAACAATTACATGGCGTTCGTTAACGATACGTTAAATATAACATTTTTGCATCTCTTATTTTCAATAATTGGTTTTCTAGAGGAAAAACGCTTACGATTTACTGCAATGAAGAAGTTTTAGTCTGTGGAGGGACAGTTGGATCACCACAAACATTACTTCTTTCTGGTGTCGGCCCGAAAGAGGACTTAGAGAAATTAAATGTAAGTTTATAGACTGAGTGAAAATCCCTAAATTTGTATATGCTATAGTGCAATCAGTATACTAATGATAAAGCTATTTTGCCATTCTAATCAGCGTTAAGGAATATCACAATGAATTATTCTAAAATTCTGAATTCTGTTAACTTATCTTCTGTTATTGTATGCCCTTTCATTGCTTATAGATATTTTATCCTTGTCATATTACTTCCATATTGATTACTTACGTACTATTACAAAAATTGTAATGAAATAATGGTATCTACAGACTAGTTACATCTCATTCTACAATTATTTATCTGCAGATTCCTGTCATTTCTGATCTACCAGTTGGACGTAATCTACAGGTAGTACTCTACATTCATGCAGTAAACCAATTCGTAATCGATGCTGTATAAAATAATGTGGTTTGGTTATTCCAGAATCATTGTGGATTAATGATCTCGGCAATATTAAATGATGAATTTCGAAGCTATAGTTACACAGAAGCATCAATTTCTATCATGAGTGTGCTAAAGTACCTCATTTCTAAAAAGGTAGACCAGTAGCTTACCACAGAAAATAATGAAGGAGTGCAAAATTTTGTTCTTGGCTTAGTTTGTAACTTTAACTATTGACACTCGTGAATTAATCTATTTGAAAGGGGAAATTAGCTTCTCCAGGTTACGAAGCATCAGGGTTAATTACCGTTGGTGAAGAATCGGTACACCAAAGTCGATTCTTTCTTAGTTGAATTCTCACTAAAGCTATATTTTGTTAATAACTTATACTAATAACGGTGTTCTTTGTACAGAGTGAATCGTCAGGTGCTGATGTTCTTATCCATCTTGAATCCTTTGGAGCAGATCAACCAGTGATTTATAAAACTTTTTCTATTGATAAAAAAAGGTATGAACTTTTGAAATGTAATCGGAAGACCTTTTTCCAACTATCGTAAATTTATTTATTGAAACATTAGAATTTCAAGGCACAGACCAAAGGGATACATATAATTAGTTTATGACTTGTGTTTGTTTTAGATTTCCATCTTTATATGCGGATGAGGCAGCAAATTCTGATAATTGCGGTTAGCCATTTGCAATTGTAAATTTAGAAGAGATAATTACTAAAATATAATGCAAAATATGCTGTTTGCAAAAATCTATTGTATATTAATTTTTTACTTCGACAGGGTTTTTCTTGGTTCCGATTCTATGTCGTCCTCTTAGCATAGGATGGATCAAGTTGAAATCGACAAATCCACTAGATCACCCTGAAATACAACCAAATTATTTTCAGCACCCTCAAGATATACGAAATCTGGCGAAGGTAATGTGTTGGTTAATAGACTTTATTTTGGTAACTCAGTAATTAACATATTGTATGTAAAGTTAAAGTAAATCGAATGCCTGTTTAGTTTTATTCGTTACAGCTCCGATCATAATACATTCGTACTATATGGGACAGTAATGCAATCTGAATTTAGTCATGATGTATTATAGGAAATCTGACAGAATTAAATTTGATAATTTAGAGATTTTATTTTTCAACTATTTTTACTACAGGGGGCTCAGTTTTGTCATAACTTATTACAAAGTAAACACTTCAAGCCCTATGTTAAAGGAATACGTCGCTATAATGTTGATTGCCCTCATACATATAACTCTCTTGAATATTGGGAATACGTCTTGAAACACTTCGCCTACGATGGATACCATCCTGTAAATTTTGTTTCCTTACAATCTTGCTGTAGAAATTAATTAAAAGAAATCATAAAAGTTCAATCTATTGTTTTAATTCAAATCTAGGTTGGCACTTGCAAGATGGGAGCTTTGAATGATGATTCTGCAGTGGTAGATCCAAACTTAAGGTATATTCTTGTCGTTCTTTCTAATGCAACACTGTAGTGCATTCGATTCTATTTTGTAATGATGTACTATCCAATGGTTGCACTAGAAAAGGATAATTTTAAAGATGTAAAATAACAATTGTAACATATTATTCTGTCTATACTACTTTAACCATTTATTTTATATCAGAATTCGTGGATTGAAAGGAATTCGAGTTATTGATGCATCTATCATGCCCGTAGTAGTTTCTTGCAACCTTTATGCGCCGGTTGCTATGATTGCTGAAAAAGCTGCTGATCTTATTAAGAAGGACAGGTTTTAGCAATTTCTTGAATAAAAGAGATGGTAATAGCTACGAAAGGGGGCAGCTAAGTGTCGCTATTACTAAGCTATAACATAGATTAAAATCTAATCTGGTTGGTAATTTGTTTTTCGGTAACCTTAGGCCTTAAAATTAATGTTTTAGCAAGAGTGATTGTGTATGTGATCATTATGGGATGCTTTTGGATGGTGATATTTGCAGAAAATTTATTAACATTTTTTCTTTTGGCAATCTTAACAATTTCCTAACAGATGTTTACCTTATGATTACAAGTGGTATATACTGCTATTGCAAATTGATAATGATTTAACTTCCATAGCGTATAATTATAAAATAGTTTATTACTGCACTTGCGTCATGCATATTAAGGAACTAACTCCTTATTGGTAGCTAAAATCATTGCACACACCAACCTAATTGAAACTCTAAAATTAAAGAAGTGTTTCCATGTGTTGTGTTTCCAATAGTTTATCAAAAGCTGTTAATAAAGTGGTACTAGAAAAACTATTTCACATGAAATTTTAATCAAAACCTACAGCAATATCGAGTATGCACAGAAGGCTCTGAAACTACTTTAATTGTTTTAAAGACAAGGTATTCTAGTATATACCATATTGCGAGATAGTCAACTTTAGAAGCTATAAAATAAATAGATTACACAGTACTCGTATAAAGGAAAGTTTTCTTAATATTCAGTTCAATGAGTATAGATTAAAATTTATTTCATTTTGTAGCAAAATAGAAACTTGAGTAAGTAATTTAATAAATTCAGGAAAAATACGCTTTGTATTCTATAATTGGGTTTATCAGGACCATATGTTGTTCATATGAAATGCTAAATCTAATAAACTGCAGTTATATATACAAACAAAGAACATACACGAACCCAAGCTATACGAAATATCTTTAAAAGTCTACTATTAGCGCGCTTGCTGAATATTCGACTTATAACCGTAATAAAAAATCTTAAAAATCTCTCGAACCAGTTGAAGAATAGGTTTAGGATTAACAATACACACGTTAATTTGGGCAGAGTCTAACTTACGATATTAGTAGCACTAAGGGTCTACCAGAAGTTTCAAAGACTCTTTCGGCATTTAATGAAATTAACATTATTCGACCACAATTAAAAATCAGGAGTATTACTAATAAAAATTGAGCTGAATTTGATTTTGTATTAAGTAATATTGAAAATTTCGCGTACACCGAAAATGGCTATTTATACGGTACTAGAAGCCTATTTTAATTTGCTAAGCGTGCATATAAATTAGATCTTTATTTGAAACCCTATCCGAACCAGAGGCATATATTAAATCTGATCTGAATATAACTAAAAATTGTTTTACTCAAAGGATCGTCTGAAACGTTAGGCTTAGAATTTACTGATAAATTTATTTTCTCCCGAGCTTCAGATACGGTAGTGACTTACGGTATGTCAAAATTTACAACCAGCTCGTATTAAAAATCTGCTTAAGAACTTTAGGAAATTTTAGCATCATTTATAGTAAATTGCCATATCTTTGGTATTACCTATCCAATGCATATTTTGGTTTTTATCCAACGAATTATTTATTGATAACTTCTGTCATTCATAAGAAACGGTAATGAATAGAAAAAATTTGCTTTAAAGGCTATTGTTATTAATAGCCAGGAATACATGAGATATAAGGCAATTAATTAAATTAGTCTTAAGTAGTAACTAGCTATGCCACCCTTCTACGAACCAAGCGTTCATCCCCTTAAGTTTTGTAGCATAATTCTATATTAATCAATGTTTAATTTAAGTATTATTATCTGGTACATTTTATTTGACAAAGTTTGGCAGAGTAGAAAATGTTTATATTGAAGAAAACATAAGAAATTGTCAATAGCTTTTGAAAAATGTAACGGAGTATAAAGGATTCGGTTATATTTTTAAAAGCATAGACAAGCTGCTATAACAGTGCTGCAATTATCGAAACTACAGAAACTATTCTCAATAGTGATGATATATAGTTGGGTTGAATTAGTTTTAAATAATAATTAATTAATAATGGTTATCCGTAGTGCTTCTCTGCCTCAGTTACTTATGGACCAACTCCCAGATTACTATGTCTGCATATTTCTATAACGCGAATCTGAGAATGATAACAATGATATCACAACCATTTATTCTTCCTTGACTGTTAATAAAATTAAGACTTAAAAGCATCAGATTATTGAAAGTAAATATATGACACAAGCAGATATACTGCCAGCATATATGCACCTTACGCACAGTAGTGTAATCATTTATTAATAATTTTTATAATTTATAATTAATTTGATAGGTATTGTGGCGAATGATCCTTTTTCGAAAATCTAATTACCGTTATTAAATTACAAATTTGTAATGATAATATTTCATTCACCGACAAATTGAATTCGATATTGAATTATTTCTAAAGAGTGAAGATTCGACAAATTATGGGTGCGTTATGCCAAATAGAAGAAAAACAATTTGTTTTCAACCGTCGCAAATTTTAAGCTATGAGTATGATATAGGCGTAAATGCACGTATGTACAGAGTAGGTGGAACAAATTTTCTACCGAAAGAAATAAAAATTGCTACGGTATCATACCTGGCACTGGTTATCAAATCAAAGTCTGTATATTGTCATATGTCATATATATCCCTTCAAGACTAATCGTCATCTAGTTTTCGAATTGCAATTTTTTTAAATTAAAATTTAAGCCCTGAGATCTTATAATTCTGTACCATTCAATTAGCTCACAAACCTGCGTATAAAAAATTCAATTGTGTGCAATATTCGAAAAAAAGTACCGTAGTAAAGAATAAATTGTGATACTGGTCGTTGTGTTAGAAACCAATTGAAAGATAGTGCTTTAAATTCATTACGGGTAGTGCAAAGCTGTTAAAATTACCATATTGTTTCATAATTTAGAATTTAGAATTTAAATATTTGGTATTGAAGGTTCAAACTCAATTACTGAGTATATAATTATCGAAATGGCTTCTGCATTGTATTAGATAGCGAGTTAAGATTTAAATATAAGTAAAAATCCAATTTCGTCAAAAGTAGCAGTAATAAAATTCTTTTTCCATCAAATGATTCAAAAATGATCTGACACAAACTATATACTGAGAAATAGCACTTACAGACTCTTTCATTACTACATCGTAGTATTCTCTAGTAACTAGCAGCATAGCTACTATCCTATATCAAATCAAAATTTATCGTAGACAAAGTACGATATGGTACTAATGTTTAGGGTTATTTCGATACTTCACGTTCATGTTATTTGCCTACTCTAGCCGATATTTGATGTAATAATAATATAAATCAAAATCCTGTCAGGATAGGGTGCGACTTATGGAGTTCTTAGGCGACTTTTGCACTAATTTTATGATTGTAAGGTCGAATAAATTACATAAAAAGTGTTAAAGTAATCCAATTATTGGTATTGGCATACTAACCACTAATTAAATGATTAAAGGCAGATTAGGCGACATATTTTGTTTATGTTGCCTCATATTCTTGATGTTTGTAGTAATATCCGATAAATCTTTCATATAATTTAATTACCATCCACTTACCAATTTACTTCTAATCTTTAGCACTTCACAAAACTGGCTGTTTACTTTAAAGGATAAGCAAATATTAAATTATAGAACAAAATATTGATATCCAAGTTTTTTAAAAGCACTTTGAGTTTGTTAGTGGAGTCTCAAAGGGAGTTAACGATAACTTCTCTTTTACATTCTCTATTCTTACATTGTTATATTATTCCTCACATAAGCCTTACTTACATGTAGAAGGAAGGTTCTGAAATTTAGATACTCAAGAACTTTATTGATTACTTGTAATTGTCTTCTTTGCACCTCATTTAAAGTGTTTTAAAAATAATATGCATATTTGAGTGGTGCCAATCATTATGCATATGCCGTAAAGCTTGAAATGTAAGAAATACGGACGATAATACGTTTACTTTGGTCATCGTTAGCCTTTAAAACAGTAGTAATAGCCTATTCCATAGATTTATAGAAATCATTAATATCTGCATAGCTTTATCCAGCCTTAATTTATTAGCATAAGGGCATAGAAGAGTAGCTTGCACGTTGTATTACTATTAGCCATAGGCTTACAATATTTTAACAATATTTTAGCCACTATAGAATAAAGTTGTATGATTTTGAGCTCGATTGTAAACAGGTGTTAAATTATGCCGTATGACTGCTATTGGTCATTTATTAATTGAGATCAGACGTTTTAATTTTGGAACAACTCCTTCAAGCTATGCACATTATATTGATCACAGCATGATATTTTAATTTAATAAAAATTATAGGTTGATAAGTTTGTTTGTAATTTATCTTTTCTCTCTGTAATTGTTTAAAGAAAGTATAAATTAGCGTGTTTGAGATAAAATCATTGGATTTACCCTTACTTTGGTTAATTCTTCATTCACCTTTCCTAAGGTACTGTAAAAAATTCTTTGATTTAAATATGTTATATTCTGTTTAAGTTCTACAGAGTCCTTTAAGCATTAGAGATTTGGTTCAATTCTAACTAAGCTATAAATTTAGACAGTCTACAACGAGGGTTTAAAAGGCCAAACTTAAAATTCTGATAAATTGTTTATAAATCTTTAATATAGCATAATACCAACATACTGACCTACATCATACTTCAGGTCATGAATTAGATCAATTTATCCATTTACTGTACAGGTCAGATATAGCAGCAAATTAATCTTCTATAAGTAGTCCATGTAATATATAAAAGTTGTTCAATTAGAATTATAATCAGAGATTAGCGTATACGCGTATTAAAGAACAAAATCATTGACTGGCTTCTCAGCTTACTTCGTTGTCGTATCTACTTATAAAAGTAGGATAACTATATTTGCAATTGAATACTACAATATGCTGCTTCGTAGACGTGAATGAAGTATCTAATAAGTTAGCACTTAAAGAAGGTGTTACTCTTGAGTGTGCAATATAAATTGTAATTTATTGCAAAATTTTAAAGTCCGCTTAGGTTGCTTTTTATCAGTTTTTATGCAAAAATGCCATAGTATGAGCATAATGGTACTGTATAAAGCTTTATGGTTAGGATCTATAAATATAAGAAAAGTATTGCCGGTTTTCACTTGTAGTTAATAACAGTTAAAAACTCTATAAGTGCAGCAATATGTATTCTTATATTCTTTTTTACCTTATAACTATAACGCTTTTTAGTTTGGAAAATTATGCTTAGAACTACTTTATATATACATTCGATGAGAGTGACAAATACCCTGATGAAATGATCTAGTGTTACATTGTCGTGAAACAGCTCAATTTTAATGAATTATCTTTTTTCTATTACCTAAAAAATATTCGTAGTTTTGCTGCCTTTTAAGACCTTAAAATCATGTCTGCTCCATCTCCGATAACCCAGTATAAAGATCAAGATTATAATGCGCTCAAGGCACAGTGCTTAGAAAGTGGGAAATTATTCGAAGATCCAACATTTCCTGCTAATGATTCCTCGTTATATTACGATAAACGTGAAAGTCACGGAATTGTTTGGCTGCGGCCTAAAGTACGTAAAGAGACAAGTAAAATCTAATATATAATTTACTCGCTCGGTGTCAGTGAAACGATTTAGAAAATTGGTTTCAGAACCTACTTGGCTGCTAAGCCTTTTTAATCAAATAGAGCTCATTAAAACTATATGTACGATAATGGACCCGTTAAATTCTTCGATAGTCGTGCTTCTTAATCAGTCCATGTACTAGTAAAAAGGATGAAATCAACCTTATTTTGCATACCTATATTCTTCTGATTAATATAGAACTTCAATTTGAGAGATAAATGTCACTTAGTATATCTATACGGACTTTTTCCCCGTAGTTCTAGATGTAAATGCTCTTATCTACGCTGTGCAGCTAAAATCAATACTGATTTATATGTTATGTACTGCAACTAAGAGTTTCGTTAATTCTAAAAATTAGAAATTATTAGATAAACCGCCTGTTACAGAATAAAATATATAATAATACAACGCAATAATAAATATATACATTTTGCAGCTAACAGTAACTTAACATTTGTAAAATTTTTAGTAAATGTGCAATATTTGTAGGCATACTTAAGACTAAGTAAATTAATGATTTATTCCGCGCCATATATATAATATTTCATAGGCTGCTGCAGTGGGATTTATTCAGTCCATATGTACAGTACAATGTAAAGAAAGTACTTTCATTTAAAGAAATATCATCAACGTAGCATTGCTTTACATGCCTAGTACTTCAGTAACTGCAGTAACTGCAGGAATTTTAAAATTGGATTAAATATGATTATGATTATCGTTCTTGTTTACTATTGCGAGTGTAGTCGTCACATGTAAAGCTACTATACTACAAGCAATTGTAAACTAAATGATCTAGTCCACGATAATATAATCATATAAGTATTACAGTATCTTGCGTTGATTGAAAAACAATTTTCTAGACTACTCCTATATTGATATTACTATAGGAGATAACTGACGATCCAAAACTTTACGTTGATGGTGGAGACCGTCTCGACATGCGTCAAGGTCGGCTAGGTGATTGCTGGTTTGTTGCGTCGTTGTCGTCTTTGGCTACCGAAAAGAATTTGCTATACCGTGTTATACCGAATGATCAGACCTTTGATAAGGATTATGCAGGCATTTTGCATGTTCGATTTTGGCGTATGGGTCAGTGGGCTGATATAGTTATTGATGATCGCCTTCCATGTTTTGAGAAATCGAAAAGGCCATGTTACGTTCATCCAAGTGATAAACATGAATTTTGGGGTTGTTTCATCGAGAAAGCTTATGCAAAGTAAGTTAGACTTAAAATGTAGGATTCATCAAAGATATACTATTATATATGTACATTATGTATATCTTTAGCAGTTATTTAGATTCCTATTCCGTTATCACACTTATTAGTGGTATTTCATACGCATGTTTGTATTCACGATACCATTTAAGAGTAAGCCGTCGTTTGCTTCGGCACTGACTGGTACTTTACAACGTAGATTAGTACGAAATGTTAGATGGCGTCTGATTCATATAATCGGTTTTGATTGATTGCAATGAAGTTTCTTTTCTATTGTGCTACCTTGATATTTCAATATATAAATCCGATATTGTGGTAATTCACGTAGATAGTACTGGCAATAATACAGTATATTAGTTTATGAATCATAATGGTACCTATAATGTATTATAACTACAAGGCAATATTGTCTATAAGCTGGAGTTGTAAAAATTTTGACTTGATGAGTTTAAGTTAGAAAAATAGATGACTTCTAATTGTTTTGTGGCCTCTCTAGAGCTCGAAATCATTCTTGTTTTCTATCTACGACATCTTGTATTGTACTACATGTAAACTTTAAGTGTAAACAAATTTTTTGGCGATATAAAGAGTAGTCTACCACTACAACTAAAAATAAGTGAATAATTGCTGATTTGCTGTGCATTGAATTTATAGGGTTAATAATAGTTATGAAGCTTTAGTAGGAGGCGTCAACTGGGAAGCTCTAGAAACTTTCACTGGCGGAATTCATGAAGACTATCACATGCCCAGTATGCCCGCAGATGGATTTCAACGGATTTTTAACGCACTGGCTCGTCATTCTTTATTAGGATGCTTCGGGGTAACTCAGCTAAGTTTTATTTGACTACAATCGACTATACGTCAAATGAGATTTGCGTATAATAAATTAAATTTTCTGGTCGATGATCTTGCAATGCGGCTGTTGCAAATGATTTCACTTTAATAAATACGTATACCGTACGTAAGCAGTAGCTACTAGAATGAAAATATCGTATGAGCCGAGATTTATCTGTTATGCGTACAGTATATGCAGGTACTTCATTCTTCTATCCATCCTTTTCAGGTTCATCATGAAAAAGGAGTCAAGGGGCATGTACTACCTAATGGACTGGTTTGGGGCCATGCCTATAGCGTCGACAAGGCTGCGAAAGTATGTACACTGTACAGTCACGGTCTTTTTTAGTAATCCATGATACAGTATATAGCAAGTTTTAAATCAATTCGAAGAAGTTTCCCCGTGGCTTGAATTTAAATTATAATATTTAGTATTTTATTAACTCACTTGCATACATAATACTGTCAGTACCGTATTCTACAAATTTACGGGCGATATTTTATGTGATATTAACACAAGACGTACGCATAAACGGTGTATATATACGGTAATAGGTCAAGATCGAAGGCAATGATGAGGAAGTACCTTTAGTAAGGATTCGAAATCCTTGGGGTTGTGGAGAATGGAAAGGAGCATGGAGCGATGGGTAAGAAACAAATAAAATACTACTACACGTGTATGCAACTAGTGAACGTAATGTTATCCGACCATCTGCGATGGAATCTGTTGCTGTAATTTCTAAACTCTTTATAAAGTATCGTGTACAACATAAAATGTATAGTGAAATTGATAAAACATTCGAACGTGTGTTAATGAATTGATAGTTCAGCTGAGTGGGATACCGTTAGCGAAGAGACGAAAAAAGCTATAGGAATGGCCGTCGCCAATAATGGTGAATTTTGGTAAGTATAGCGGATGGATATTTCTGGTTGGTGAGATAGCCGTTAAAGTGATTGTTATAATTTTTATATTTCGTTTAGTAAGTATTAAGCAGTGTATGTGATCATGTGCATTATGAGGATAGAGTGGTACCTCCTTGAAATAACTTTTTGATATTTATAGGATGTCGTACGAAGATTTCATCTCCAATTATGTAACTTTAGAGATCTGTATGCTAAAGCCCGATATTGAATATAAGGATGGAAACAAAATGAAATGGAATTTTGTAGAAGTGGCAGGTGAGTGGAAAAAGGGCGTCAATGCCGGTGGTTGCTGGAATTTTCGCAAGACATATCACACTAATCCACAAATACGCTTTGAGATTCCAGTAAGTAAACATCAGAACTGATTTTATCGATCAATTTTCAATAGTTCAATGATTATATGTACTAATCGTACTAATTATAGGCGTTATTATTATTAATATTAATACTTTTCAGTTATGTACGGCATCAATAATTTTACTAATTTTTTGTCCTTGTTGATATTTCATTGAAACAATCTAATTAGGAGGATGATACCCCAGAAGGAACATCAATATTCATTGCATTAATGCAAATGTTTACACGACCGTTTGCTGGAGAGCATAAGAAAACTCAATCGATATGTTTTACTATCTACAGAGTGGAAGGCGATCAAGTTGGTAAAAGGTTAGATGAAAACTACCTTCTGCATCATCGATTCAATGCCAGGTGTAAAGCTTTCGGTAGATCTGCGGAGATTTCGAACCGATTTACTTTCAAGAAAGGGCATTATGTCGTTATTCCAGTAACCTACAAACCTGATGAAGAGACTAAGTTTTGCTTACGAATTTTTACAGAAAAACCTATCAATGTTACAAAGTAATCTTCCTCCTATACCCATACACTTGGTTTATAGGTTCCACCAGCATAGATAAACGCTGCTAGTTTACACGCTATGATCCATGTTTGGATAAGTAAAGCACAAATTTAAATTGCATTTTATAGTTGCAACTGCATGGCAAAATTGAAGTACTTCTCCCATTGGTATAATGTCATCTCAACGTGCGCGTCGATGTTTGTTACCGTGGTCGCTGTACAATTGTTAATTTGATCAAGTAATTTCTTAGTTACCCGTATCTTCATTAAGCTAATTGCTTGATTATTGCGAAAAGCATCACGATACTGCATTGACTCTATGATTGGCATTACGTGTATTAATGATAATTAATAAAATTGAATGAAGAAAATGGTAGCTGTAGCCATGTTGAATTTGAATTTTAAGTAACAGTATCATAATCAAAACTTTATCATGGAGAAACTGACCTACCATGACTGCATCCTATCGAACCGGAAATGATATTACAGTACAGTACTGTAGAAAGCCTATACTGTTGATCTTTTGGTACAGGATCGCTAGTGTGCATGCAATTTACTATCGCTAGTAAAATTCGAGAAAACACGTCTTTTTCACTTTATACTACATAGTATTTTGATTCTTATATCTTTCAGACGTAGGCCTGTCGTTAATTGCTTACTAATCGATCCTTCGTGGTACTAATGGTACTTGTACCATGCTTTTACAACGCAAGATAATGTACCGCATTAACGCGACGCGGCAACTTTTGCTTGATTAGCGATGTCATATATACAGTATTACAGGATTGTGCAGAACTTCTGCATGAATATCTTTGATATCTCTTTTATTAGTGAACGTACAGAATTTCTTCTTCTATCGTTCCAATCAGCAGCATTCGATGCTTCCTATAGTCATGGACTCATGGTAGATTATAAAAATTAAAAATTAATTATTTATCATACGGCAACCATAAGTCTAAGAGCAACTGCGATAACGGCTGCGCGAATTCAACTGCCAGTAACAGGATAGTCATTTGCGGCGCCTTACAGTACGTACTGTAGACTGTGCAATACATTGTACTGTGCTGTCTATTATCTGCAGTACTGTAGGCCGTTTTTTTCCCGACAGATGTATGTACAGTACAGTACAGTACTGTACAGTACAGTATTACAGTACGATACAGTACTGTACTGTACTGTACGGTAGCACAAGGTTCTGTACTGTACACTGTAAGGCAGAGGGCCTTAAATTAAGTTAATTTGGCATTTTTAGATATTGGTGTCCGTTACTCTCCATGACTAAGTCATGGACACCAAGGTAGTGATATTACTAAATATGCCCTCAAGGTAAATAAATGTATCAATTACAACAGCAGAAAGTAAATAGATGATCATAGGGATTAGAGGGACTAGTGCAAACTCCCGTCGCTTTACTGACGGTTTACGATAATGTGCTCATTTAACAGAGGTTCAGTAACTATCAGATCGCTGACTAACGAACATTATCCTCTTAGAAATACTTTTTGTAATATGATATATAGCAATCAAAAATAACCGGGACAGGGGAACTATAGTAGGGTAACACTACGAATTGCAAGAGAGCAATAGAACTAAGAGTACCTACTGATGTGTATCAATCACTTTTCAAATTTCGTTAAGTAACTTTCGTATTAGTATGTTTACCGAATAAGGATGGTTACTATATACAGTATAGAAATCAAAAGTAATTGGGACAGGGGAACTACAGTAGGATAACACTACGAATTGCAAGAGAGCAATAGAACTAATAGTACCTACTGATGTGTATCAATCACTTCTACCTTCTCAATAATATTTACATAAATCCTAGAGATCATTCATTTCTATACCAATTCANATTTCGTTAAGTAACTTTCATATTAGTAATCGGGACA